ATATACTTATCTTTCTGAGAAATTAAGGACTCATCCTTCAAGTGATGATGATGAACATGTGAGACCTGTATAGCCAAAGTTTAATGAACATGCTGCCTTTGGGCATGTTTATTTAGAACTTGGCATGGAGTTTCTGAATTTGGAGCAATTTAAATGTGCTGTGAAAGACTATAACATTAGTCTTGGGAGGCAGTTTATCTGGGCTAAGAATGACAAGATCAGAGTAAGGGCCAAATGCAGTATTGAAGACTGTGAATGGATGGTGTATTGTGCTTGGAACACCAAGCTAAGCACATTCCAAATAGAAACATTTAATAAGACACACACATGTTGCAGAGTGTTCCAGAATAAAAAGGCTACTCAAGATTGGGTGGCCAAGAAATTAGAGAAAATGACATTGACACAGCCGAAGATGTTAAGGTCAGAGGCATTTGAACACATGAAAGAGGAATACAATGTTCATTTAAATATGAAGAAAGTAAGCAAGGCTCTTAAGAAAGCCAAAGACATGGTTGGAGGTTGTGAGAAGGAACAATATGGCAAATTAAGGGAATATCTTGCAGAGCTATTGAGAAGCAACCCTAGATCAACTTGCCAAATGCAAGTAACACCCCATCCTATTCCACAAGTACTGCTAATATTTGACAGGATGTACATTTGCCTTGATGCTTGTAAGAGGGGCTTCAAAGCTGGTTGCAGGCCTTTAATTGGATTGGACAGTTGTTTTTTGAAGGGCTACTATGAGGGTTAATTATTGAGTACTGTGGGTAAGGATGCAAACAAACAATTTTATGTAATTGCCTTTGCCATGGTTGACAGTGAGACAAAGGATAACTGGAAGTGGTTTTTGTCCTTATTGCAAGAAGACTTAGGGGATCATGGAGTTTATGGTTGGAATTTCATATCAGATCAACAAAAGGTATCAATTTATGGTTTATGAATTTATTTATTTATTTTAAATTGCTTGTGCTGATTCACATATAACAATTAGTTTCATTTTAACCTACAGGGATTGGTTCTAGCTTTGAAGGATATTATGTCTGGTGCACATCACAGATTATGTGTCCATCATGTGTGGAAGAACTTCCTCAAGCAATGGGAAGATAAAGAGACCAGGGAAATTGTGTGGGAATGTGTTAGATGCACAACTGTCCCCCAATTTCAGAAAGTTATACAAAGGCTGAAAACCTTAAATGAACCAGCTTGAAAGTATCTTGATAATATAGATCCTTCTTATTGGGTTAAGGCATACTATAGTCACTGGCCTAAATGTGACAACATCACAAACAACATGGCTGAGGTGTGGAATTCAAATATTGTGAATTATAGGTCCAAACCTATCATGACTTTGTGCGAGGAATTGAGATGTTATATAATGAGAAAGATGGCAGCACACAAGAGAATTTTGCAAACATTTAGGGGCAAGATAACACCTGCACAACATAAGAGGCTAGACTAATGGAAGGTTGCTAGCAATTCTTGGACACCTACATGGACTGAGAACTTGGTCCAAGATGTTTATGAAGTCTCTGGAAGGGGTCAAAGGGTTGGGGTGAACTTAACTAACCAATCTTGTATTTGTAATGTTTGGCAATTGACTGGATTGCCATGTGAACATGCCATTACTACCATTGCTCACAAGAATGAACTTGTAGAAAATCATCTCCATCAGTGGCTGACAGTGGATGCTTTGCATGCCACTTATGAACACATACTCAACCCAGTCAATTCCCAACAATATTGGCCCTCTTGTGATGCCTTTAGACTACTTCCTCCACGCCTGAAAAGGCCAATTAGACATCCTAAAAAGCATCGCAAAAAGGATCCTACTAAAGAGCTTATGAAGACCAACAAGAAACTGAAAAAGTTTTATACAGTTAAGTGCTCCAAATGTGGTCAGATTGGTCATTACCCAAAGACATGTAAGAGACCTGTAGCTCCTTCAAAGTCAAAGAAAAAACCAGTTAATGTTAATATTCAATCAAGGCCAGAGGAAGAAATAGTGATGACTCAAGGAAGCCTTGTACCAAAGACAAGCAGCTAGCATGCAACAACTGAGGCTCAACCAAGTTCAAGACCATCAAGAGGTTGCAGCCCAGCTCCATCAAATCCTACTGAGGTTGTGTTCAATGAGACACTAACTGTAGCAAACAGTGGTACCAAGGCCAGATTCATGAGCTTCATGTCTACAACAGGATTCAAGCCACCAAAACCAAGAATTGAATGGCAATGTCATTAGGCCATTTTTTGTCACCCTTTGATATAGGCCATGATTAGTAATTGTAATTAGGCCAATTTTTTTGGAACATTTTGGTATTGACCTGTTCCAATATGTCCTTAGGCTTTTTTTGTATGCCTCTGGTTATGGCCATGATTAGTACTTGTAATTACTGCAGGTTTTGAAACACTGTTGTATTGGCCTTGATGGAAATATGTCATTAGGCTTTTTTTGTATGACTGAGGCATATTGGCCATAGTTAGTGCTTATATTTTGGATATGTGGAAATGAATGCAAAATGTCTGGTTATCACTTCATCATCTTCATTTCTGTCTACAATGTGGAAATTTTTAATATTGGTCTACACCATCTGTTATGCGCACTTCTTCTGATAAACTTTCTTGTTTATGTCAACACTGGTATATATATTGTCTTTGTTGTGTCGTTTTAAGGGCATATGTAGCATCATTGCACTTCTCATCCATCAGCAATGCATTTCGCTTATAAATCCTCAACAATTTGCATCGGGACCATTTTAGTCCTTGGTAATTAAGACATAGATCCAGTTTGGTCCTTAACAATTTTATCAGGGTCTTTTTTGGTCCCTAGTTACCTTTCCACACACCAATGCCACCATAAGTTGTTAATACACCAGCAATGTCAGTACTTATTTAGATGGTGATTTAAATAAAAGTAAAGCCCCTTTTGGGTCCCTAACAAAAAACACGGTTCCCACTTTTGTCCCATACAAAAAAAGTCAACTTTTGGTCACTCTACAATTCCAGTTCTTTGAAAATGTGGTCTCTCCGAAATTCAATGAAGACTCAATTTAGTCCCTAAAAAAGGACTAATATGGATATTTGTTTTTGTAAAGGACGAAAGTGGTAACCAGGTTTTTTGTTAGGGGCCCAAAAGGGACTTTACTCATTAAATAATGAGTTACACACTAAACTTCTGCATAATTAACACCATGACTGTCTCAGATTAATGTTCATTCAATGTTTCCATTTTTTTATCTCCTTCAAGTTTATACTGCACTTCGTGCCAATAAACATAAGTTTAAGTACATACGCCATGTTATATACATTGTATGAACAACATTTCATTATATTTCAACACTGATCCTTCCATTACAAATCTTTACATTTCAAAATCATTACAACATGTAATGGTACATACACCAGCAAATCTCAATAGTACTACACTTTTTTTTTCCATTCCAGCCTACTTCCAAGATATATACGTATTACAAACACAACAATAATGGATCCAACAAACACTCTAGCACACCTACGCACATGCTTAATTTCCTTCTCCACCCTATCAAACTCTGCATGCATCTTCATTGATAGGTCATTAATCTTTATATGGTGCTCATTAATCTTCTTTTCCTGGTCATTCACATCCAACTGCAGTTCATCATTGAGCTTCATGTCCACATAGTTCAACTTGAATTACATTTCAGCTACATTCAACTCCAGCTTATTAATTCTCTAATCTTCCAACTCCATCGTATCAGTTGTAGCATCATCCACCCATCTAAAAAAAATTGCAGTGTGGCTTCTTTTCCTAACACAAAATGAAACCAAACTCTTAATAACATTCAACTTTAACAAAGAACGCATGCAACTAACTGAATGCAAAAAAAAAAAAAAAAACTCACCTTGAAATTGGGACACCCAAAAATGCTCTATTTAAGTTTCTATCCGTTTTGGAAGTGTAAACAACACTGTGCCTCCCACATTTACACCTTAGAGCAACACTCCTTCTTTGGCTTCTAGTCCCAATTGAGCTCCCCCTCAAGAAGAAATATTCATTTCCTAAACACTAAGTTTCAAAGAACGCACAAAATATTCAGTAATCCCTAAATCAGTAAACCCTAAATTGCAACGTTCAATTTTTGATTGAATCCCCACCTGATGTGTTTCTGTAAACCCTACACTATAGGATGACGTTCATGTGGAGAAATTGAGGGGGAAGGCAGACTTCACATTCAATTGGTTACTACTTGTTTATGCAGCAACGTGGACACAGGTCTCCAAACGACGATGTTTGCCTTCTAACGTGGCAGGTGAGCCCGTATTAATGTTACGCATCAGTTCCGTGAGTGACGCCATCTGATTGTGACTAACAGAAAGAGTATCGTGGGACCTCTTTGTCTTTGTTGGGAACTTCCAGGCTAATTTATTTTTGATAGGGACCGAAAATAGTATCATGTTTTTTGTCAGGGACCAAAATAAGTATTTACTCTTATAAAAATTATGCTGAGTTAAATTTATTGTTTTAAAGAAATTACTTAATTCCACAAATCATTAGATAATATCAATGAGGGATGAACTCGGTCGGTCCCGTTTTGGTGGATCATGCCAACCTTACACAAAACAATAGAAAGGAGGAGTAAAGTGATGGTTTATCCTATTCTATATCAGTTGTACTGTCCTCTCGATATCATATTTTGTGTTTACTATTTTGCTAAAAAAGTATATAAAAAACTTTGCTATAAAATGATGGGTGAGAGGGATCATTATTTTTACAATTTACCTTACTTTAAAAAATAAATTTAGAATTACACTAAATTAATTTAAAAATAAAGTTGCAGCAAAACCAAAAAAAAAAAGAAAGACAAAAAGTCACGAAAACACAATTGAGAATTTGAGATCCAAAAGTGAACAAATTAAAAAAAAAAAAATCAAATATTTTGACAAATAATAATCAACAAAAGCATAAGTATTATACGAAACCTGTGATTTTGGGGACGAGAGAAACTGAAAGGGGCTAGCTAGCTAGCTACTCTTTGTTCTCACTCACTGCAATGCATAAAACCTGAAGCCCAATCCAAGCGTGTGTGTGTGTATCTCTCATTCATCATATTCAAATTAATCAACGAGTTCCAGCGAGCAATAGCATCGAAGAAGAAGAAGAAGAAGAAAAATGGAGGTGGAGTTGGAACCTCGAGTGAAGGCTCTTCCATTCAAGGTCAAAGCTATGTCGAGGGAATCGCCGACACAGAAAGCCATCCACGTTCTCGACACCGACCTCCGTAACCACTGGTCCACCGCCACCAACACAAAGGAATGGATTCTCCTCGAACTCGACGTTCGTCTTCTCTTCTTTTTCTTTCCTTTCCCTGAAAATCTGAGAAAAAATCTTGTTTCATCTTTTTGTTGTTATTATTATTCGTTAGACTTTTTGTTTTTCATAATACTTCGTTGAAATATGGTGATTGAATGCTTCCTTCTGTTGGTGTTTCAACTCTAGGGCTGCTTGAAGATTTTTTTTATTTTTTATTTTAATGCTTAAACGGTTTTGGACTTTTACTCTATCTGAGTGTACATGCTGAAAAATAATAATAAATTCTCCGAATTATTATTATTATTATTTGGTTTTTTGAATTTTGCAAAATGACTATAGGGATTTTTGCACGTGTCATAGAGTAGCGATATTGAGAAGGAATAATTTAGTATAATGTGTGGGATTGATACGAATGTGGAAGTTCAGAGGCCTCGTGCTGCTCTTTCTGCGCTATGTGTAGTTCTAGTTCTTTTGTTTGTGTTATTGTGCATCTCCTGGCATATTTAATTAGTATTTATGAGGTTTTCTTTGTCGCAGGAGCCTTGCCTATTGTCACATATACGGATTTATAACAAGTCTGTACTTGAGTGGGAAATTGCAGTTGGGTTACGTTACAAGGTTAGTGGCTGGAAATTGTGATCAATGATCATTGGCAATTGATACTCTTTTCTCATTTGTATTTTACAAATTTATAAAGCTTATGTGTCAATTGTCTCTTTTTTTTTTTTTCGGGGAGCTTTTTTGGCTAGTTAATGATAAAAGGGAATTTTATGGTATGCTCACCTAGTTGTCTGTATTCTTTTTGATTTGATTATTGTTGAATGACTATTGATATATAATCCAAATGATCAATTGCAAGAGGTACCATAAAATGCGGTACCATAGATACCTCCTATTACAAATTCTATTGAATTAAGCTTTTATTGGATCAACTGTTCTTGATTGTTTTTGAGTTTAGATCTTAAAACAATTTGGTGGTCTGGGCGGGAAATGGCGGACAAAAGAAATGACCATTTCTATAAGATTTTTAATGTTAAGTTTTTGGTTGAACCTTTGGTATGCTCAATCTTATACGGACTTAAGAAGGCCGACCATTGGCTTTTATTAGGGGTTTCGAAATACTTGTGGTATAGGCTCTTTGTTGCTTTAGTGACCAAGGATATTATCAACAGGATGCATGCTTCTTGAGCTGTTTCTTGACCGTTCATTCATGATATATAATGTAATTAAGTTGTGCTGATTAAATGAAGATTAATAAATTAATTGATTTGGAACAATAATGTTGTTGAGCTTACTGAACAACTTGATTTTAAGGGAGATGTAGATAAAATGTAGAGTTTCACTTGATGTGGATGCCATTTTCTTATCAATCTAAATGCAAAATGTTGGGTAATTTCTCTTCAGTTTTCTGATAAAGATGCACTATAAATGTCCAACTGAGTCCCTTCAATTACTTGTTTTGCAAATGATGGTATATTGATTATAGTTCTCCCCCTTCAATTTTATATGAATTATTTAAGCTTTTAATTATACATTTTCCAAGATGAAGAGAAGCATGGTTGCATCATTGCATGCTTGACCGATTCTTATTTGCTTTCCAGCCAGAGACTTTTCAAAAAGTTCGCCCACGTTGTGAAGCACCTAGACGTGACATGATCTACTCTACAAACTACACTCCATGTCGATATGTGAGGATATCTTGTTTGCGTGGAAATCCAATCGCTATTTTCTTCGTTCAGGTATACTATAATATTTTTGTCATTTTTAACCTTCATCATTTTTTATTATTCTAAAGTTAAATCCTATAGAATTGTTAAATGTTTTTGTCTTTGTTTACTTTAGGCTATTTGGTTAATGTGATAGTTGGATGTTCATTTTTTGGGCAGCATCAAATCTCATGATTGGATGGTAGATATCTACATGTTTTTTATGTGTACTTTTACATTTCTTAATTTTTTGTATTTTGTTGGAGTGCAGTTATGATGTTTCTTAAGGTATAGAAATATTTTTGGTTGTCTGGTAATGTAATGTCTTATCTACATTGTTTATTGTTCTGTTGCCCCTTTTTTGATAGAAACTCATTAAAAGGAGTGAGAAAGGGTACAAAGAGAAGGAGGGTAATATCTAGGGAAAAATTCAAAACCCCCCCTAGGATTTACTCTTTTATCACTTGCCCCCCCTAAGCTTTTTTTCTTATCGCTTACCCCCCTATGGTTCCCCCCCCCTTCCAAATCCACCTTTAACACCGTTAATAATTGAACTAACTTGACCATTCTCCAAATCCACCTTTAACACCGTTAATAATTGAACTAACTTGACCATTTTACCCTACAAATCCATCAACCCAGTTGCTTAAAACAATTCCTATTGCAATTCCAACCCAGAAAAATCTCACCATTCCTCTTCTGTATTTGGGAGAAACAACGGTAAGCTCCACTTTTTACTGGCAAAACTCAAGGTTCTCACTCTACTTTAACTAATAGAGCAAACAATACACAGCCAAATCTGACATTAGCAACCAAAGAATCCAAATTGATTAGAATACATTTTTCACGTAAAAGTTTTTTAAGCTTTAAGCAGATTATGTTGTGTATTCATTTGGATATTTCATCTTTGCAGTGTGCATGATTACTGTTGTTTCTGTGTGCCACAATTCTCCCTCCCAACCTTCTCCTACATATATACAAATATATATGCTACTGTCAAATTTAAGTGGTGGCACTGCCGCACTCCTAATCTATATCATATGTCAATATACTCAAACTTATCATTGCACAGAACTTTTATGCGCATGGCATTACACACAATTTCCTTTTGTCACTCATTACGGAACTGATTTGTCACTCTGGATGAATAAGGACCTTCGGAATTAGAAGAACTACTTGGACTTGAGCCCATAGCTTCTCAAGGGATTGTTGAGAAGAGGCTGGAATTGATGGTGGCGCGTGGTCAGATGCACGCAGGCAGCGACGTGGGCATGTGAACGGTAATGACCCACCATAAGGACATAAAAGAACTAGATTTCTAACCACCAAGTCAGGATGATGGGAGTAGAATGGGACATACAGTGTGATGAGTCAATGCTAGGAACATGGAATGTGGACTTTACACATCAATAAATGAAGCTGCGTGTGGGGGCGTGTGATAGGGTCTTTGGTGATGATGCTTGGAGAGCTAGCTGGTTGGTGTGTTTTGGGTGGATTCGAACTTCTAGGAAGAATTGGGTCCCAACTTGAGCGATGACTGGATGCTAGGGACGATGTTTAGGGTTGAGATGTTAGGCCCTGGCTTGGAACTTGCTTTGATACCATGTAGAAGAGGGTTTTATGAGAATTGCTTGAGGAAATTTTCAGCAGAAATTTCTATTTATGCATGGCTTACAATCTCTAGTATTGGGAAACTAGGAAAGTAAGGAAACTAGGAAATTAGAGAAAATAGTACAAATCAAATCCGAATTATTTACAGCGTATATAGTCCTTAAATAGGAGATACTTTGTAACACACATCTTGACAAGGTTTTCGACTCTTTGCTCTCCCAATGCACTTAAATTGTTTCTTCTGTTCTGAGCTTCTGTGGTAATAAATCCATAATTCATCAAGTATGTGACGTGAGGTTCATGCTATTTACAGAACATTTATTGAGCATGGTTTATATCAGGGGATCAGTATTTTGGATATGTAAAGATATTGGGCTGCTCTTCTATTTTGATTAGTTTTATAGGACTTCTGTTTCTGTATCTTTGTTTTGGTTTTCTTTATCTAGTCTAAGGACTCCTTATCCTCCATTTTTTTTTTACTGTTTTATTGTTCTATTTCTAATGCAACTTTTTTATAAATAAAAAGGTTTCAAATGATCATCACTTGTCATTACTGAGCTTGTTTTTACCATCTGTCTCTTGCAGATAATAGGAGTTTCTGTGACTGGTCTTGAACCTGAATTTCAACCTGTTGTTAATTACTTGCTACCACATATTCTATCTCACAAACAGGATCCTCATGATATGCATCTCCAGGTGGATTGTATCTTTTCTTCCATCAAGTAGCTTATTATGTAATTTATTTCTTGTATTATTGTTATTTGTGTTTCCTTTCTGATGTTTCATAGTTTTTAGTTGCTGCAAGACATGACAAATCGATTGCTTGTATTTCTTCCACAACTAGAGGTAAACTTGAGCATTTTACTTTCATGACTTTATTCACAATTCCTCCCTCTCTGTCTCTCTCTTTTCTCCCCTACTTTTGTTATGCCATTCAGCATTGTATATAAAACTGCAGACAGACCTTGCAAGCTTTCCGGATGCTCCTGAGTCTAACCTACGATTTCTTGCCATGCTTGCTGGTCCTCTTTATCCTATTCTTCATGTGGTGAATGAAAGGTTAGTTTACTTTTATATCCTCTTCACTGGCCAATTATTTCTCACTAGTGGGAAATTTTATTTGGTTTGTGTTTTCTTTGTTAGTAGTTCCTGATATACTTATCTTAACTAATGACATGTACGTGTTTGACCTTTATGAAGTGAAATTTTCTTATGTATACCAACATGATGGGTGATGGTCTTGATGCTTTGTTTTTTCAACTTGATTTGGGTTCGAGTCATTGTTAAGATGTGGAAATAGTGATAGTTTTGTAGTTTCTTTCTCTGTTCTTGTAAATTGCATTCAAAGTAAATTGTTCTGAAAATGTTTCTGAAAGCTCCTGTATAGATTATTGCTTGTTCTAAAACATTCCAGAGTCTAAAGATTTTGATGTTATGACACATCACTGACATTTTGGTTTGACTACCTCGTAAGGTTTTTCATGTGGAGCAGATTAAGATAATACTAACCCAGATTAATTAATTAATTTAAGAACACGCCCAATGCTTAAATTCTTTATTGATTTTGGGATGGCTTTATATTCCTAACTCGTAGAGAAGGCATTAAGCTTTCGAATTTATCAACTATCCATATGGGTATGAATCTGGTGATCAAAAATAAAAATATTAGTATTTTTACTGGGGTGTCCCCATGATTTTCTTTTACTAAAAATCTCTGTGTTTGTATTAAGTTTTTTCTTAGGGAAAAAATATTAAAGAAAGAGAGTATTGAAGGCAAAAGGGAGTTTTATTTTGTTTTGTTTTTGAAATATTGGTTTATCCTTTTGTTGCTTGTGTTTTGTTGTGGGAGTTTACTAGAAGAGGGGGGGGGGGGGGGGGGGGGGGTTTGGGTAGTTGTGGTAGTCCCTTTTTCTGTTTTCTCCTTTGGATGTGTTTTGTTTCTGGTTTCGTCTGGGGTTTTTTTTTTCCTTCACTTTGTGCTTTCTTGTATTTCCCCTTTCTTACCTAATAATATTTCTATTCTATGTAAAAAAAATTATTAAAGAAAAGTTACACTACACGTAGAAAGTAGGATATCTAATCCTCCTTTGTAAATATTGGAGGAAGGAAATAAATACACAGCAAATGTAAGAGCATTTCATGCTGACCAAACACAACAAATTAAGAACAGCATCAAATTAGACCTGACCATAAAGTTTTGTTTGTCACTTTGTGCAAACCCTGGAAAGTTACTGCTCTAAACTCAAGTGGCTGCAATACAATGGAAGAACCAGTGAGCGACTGTTTCTGAGCTAGCACCACAGTGAACTCATAGTGTCTATAAACTTGTTGCATATCATTATTGTCAATCCTATTTGTGAACCATTTTTCAAACTAAAATTCTGATCTTCGAAGGAGATTTGATTTCCATAGGGGCTTACAAGGAAGGAAAATTGCTTGATTCAGAGACTCGATAAGAAATTGTGAGGAAGACTAATAGGAGTAAACACCAATAAAAATTGAGAGCAAACTCCAACCGCCAAATTGGATGAAATATGGAAATAGTGAAGCAAGACAATAAGACTGCAATTTTTCAATTTAAAGGTATCTATAGCATTCTCCTAAAAATCGAAATGGATGCCCTCATAATGTATAGATGCATAATGTATGTATTATGCTTCTTGTCATAAAATGTAAATTTTTGAGTGTTCAGTTTAAAAATTAAGGTAGTGAATGTTGGGCTGTAAAATGCCAATGAGAGCTAAAAGTAATGTAGTAGATATGCAAACCCTAAGGTGGATGAGGAGCATAAAAAAGATGAGATTAGGAATGAATGTGTTTGGGAAGAAGTTGGAGTAGCATTGATTGAGAAGACAAATACTTGTTTTCAGTGATTTGGGAGACCCATAAAGGCTCCAGTTAGACAAGTAAATCAAAAGTTCCGATTAAAAGGGGTAGAGCGAGACCTTAGAAAGTTGTAAGGGAAACCTTTAAAAGAGACCCTAGCTGTAATGGTTTTATTGATAATTTGGTTTTTGATAGAGCCCAGTGGCATCTGTTAATCCATGTAGCCGATCCTACCTAGAAGGATATGGCTTTGTTGTTGTGTTCGTATTTGAAATTAATTCATGTGGTTCTTGACACAAAATAGGTACAGATTTTGACTGGTTTTACAAAAACTTGGTAAACCAAATATTTACCTAACAAGTCACTTCTGAACCTGAAGCTCCTGAAGTGCATATATCATTTATCTCTCTCTCTCTCTCTGTATGTGTGTGTGCGCGCGCATTTGATATTTTGTTATTCATAATTGCTTTAGTACAAATAATTTGCACAATTACAGGACAACTTCAAAACCTCCAGGCAATATCACAGACCATGATATCTCCAAAAGTAGTCAACCGTCACCAGCCCTAACTGTCTCGTCTAACTTTGAGGTAGCTTCATCAACCATTTATTTCTCTGATATCTTGTCATCTTGCCTTACCAACAGGTTGTTTGTTACCATGGTGTCCCAATCTATGATTTTCACAGGATGAGTTTGTCTGTTTGCATATCCAAATGCATTATTGGATGGTCTCTTTAAATCTAGCTGTCTTTGACTTGTCCATGGTTCAATTTTAATTAGAGTAGGAAAAAAGTAGAGGAGTTGAGGATAAGATATTTTCCTAAGGGAACCACCAAACAAAAAGAGAGAGAAGAGAACCACTGAAATATGGCAATGCTTGCCAATCTCTTCATACATCTGACAAAGAAACCCATTTCAAATAGCCACTTGCTAAAACCTCAAAGAAGCTAACAATGCCACTTTATCCCAAAAAAATGGTAATTGCAAGAACTTCTTGAAAATTCTGACATTTTTGTCTGATCATAGACACCAAGTTATTGCATACATTAAACACTACTAGAGACCTGTCTTTTTTCCTGCCAAAACCTCCAAAATGGTATATAAGGAAATTGTTCCTAGCTCTCTTGACAAATCATGTTTCCCCAAAAAAATTTGAAAGTTTGCAGCACAAATATCTAGACAACAGAAAAATAAGCGACTCTTTACAATCAGAAAAAACAGTGCAAATTTTATAGCGTGCGAGCCTTGACGGTCAATATTTTCTTTCAATGCAGCCAAGGAGATCACGAAGTGCATCACCTTTCATTTTGTCTGCATACCGAGCCATAGTTTTTCGGCCAGATGCAATTTTTATGTTGCTGAGGAAGGCATATCAAGATTCTGATCTGGGTTGTGTTTGTAGGACGGTATTTATCTCTATCTTATTTAGTAGTTTATTTAAATAAATCGTCCTTTTACTTTTGACTAAAATGAGAGAGGTCTACTATTTTCTTTATGTATCTGTGCTCAACCCACTGGTGCTAATGTGCTTTTCTGGATATGTCTTTCTTTGCCTTCATTTCAGGCATCTAGAATTATGCAGAAGCTCATGAATCCGGATATTGAGCAAGATGTATCAAATTCAAACCCTCAAAATGAAGTAACATCTCTTTCGGAAGACAAATCAAAATTGGAACTGTCTAGTCCTTTAACTTTTGTTGATTATTCAAACCTGTTTGGTGAGGAGTTCCGTTTGCCAGATGAACACTGGGATTGCAGCTATCTTAATATATTAGATATGGGGGCAGTGGAAGAAGGGATCTTACATGTTCTTTATTCTTGTGCATCGCAGGTTCCTTACAGTCAAATGATACACAATTGATTGGTTCCGATTTCATTGTTAAAATTTGCAGTCTTTTATGTACATTGTTTAACACACTGCAGTTTACAGCCTGTTCTTTGCAGCAAGATGGCTGAGAGAACTTCAGACTTTTGGGCTGCACTGCCTCTTGTACAAGCTCTTCTGCCAGGTTGAGTGTTACTCATAAATTGTTCTTGGGTTTAGTAACAGTTTCTTTGCATAATGAAGCCATTTCGGGCATCATTCTGAAATACTGATTTTTTTTTTAAATGGAAATCTCCTGCTGATCTTTTTTCCCTATTGGATGGAAGCAAATAATAGTTTTTGCGAATTTGGAAGAAGCATAAAGTGCCATAATTTTACTTCTGTAAGCTTATCTCTTGCATTGGAATGCCATCTTAGTAAATGATGGTGATCTGGGAAATTGAGGAGAGAGAGGAAAATATAGGAGATTTTTTCTTTTTGGGGGTGGGGTGCGAGATGGAGGATGTGAAAGAATAGGAATTTTGCACTATGTTTAATCAACAATACGGAATTTAAATAGAACTTCAAATAATGAAAGGGCAAGGGATATATGATAGGAAAAACCTATCCTAGCACAGTTGAGGAAGAAAACAGAGAAGAGAGATAGAGAATTCAAGAAGAATGAGATGAGAAAAAAAACAGTTTATTTCAATGACAAGTTTAATACCCATTACGGTTACAAGGGATCCTATTTATACATGTTCTGTTCCTGACCCAATGTGGGTCACTCTAACTACTCAATTAACAATCACTAATATGACTACTTTGCCCATACCAATCACACTTCGTCTCACATGAACCTTTTGGGTTTTCTTATCACCCTTCTTGTTCTCCCTTCGGCAATGGTGTCAGCTACTACATGATTGTCCTCCCTCTCACTTTGATGTGCTTTATTCGTATCAATACCCACCCCATTAAAACTAACCTTGTCCTCAAGGTTAAAATGTGGATATTGTCTTCTAAATTCTTGTAATTCTTCCCATGTTGCTACCTCCTGTGGCATCCCACTCCATAGCACTTTAATCTCTATCTGCTGCTGATCTTCCACTGCGATGATTCTACTGTCTGTAATGTCCTGGGGTTCCAAAACTGGCATACCATTAGTGAACACCTCTGGCAGGGGTAGTGGAGATATAGAGTTGTCTCCTTTGAATGGTTTGAGAAGAGAAACATGAAAGGTATGGTGTATCTTTGCATTAGGTGGTAACTCAAGCTTATAAGCAACCTGATCAACTTTTTTTGCTATTGGAAATGGCCCGAAGTATCTTCTGCATAATTTGTTGCTCATTTTTTCTGCCACTGAAGACTGCCTGTAGGGTTGTAAGTGAACCCAAACTAAGTCTCCAACCTTGTATTGAACATCCCTCCTCTTGCGATCAACTCGCTCCTTCATAGCCTGCTGAGCCTTGATTAAATTCTCCAGTAGTTGCTGTAAGATAGCATGTCTATCCATTAGAGCAGTATCTACTTCTTCTAATCTTGTGGCAGATGACACACAATCTAGGATGGAAGGGGGATCACGACCAAAAACTGCCTTGAAAGGGGTCATCCCAGCTGCAGAATGGTAAGAAGTATTATAGCAATATTCAGCCCAATGCAGTATCTTAGACCACCTCTTAGGAAAATCTGCAACAAAGCATCTTAAGTATTGTTCGAGGACACGATTAACAACCTCTGACTGGCCATCTGATTGAGGGTGGTAGGCTGTAGTTCTTCTTAAGTGGGTGCCACTTTGCTCAAACAATTCAACCCAGAATCTGTTGAGGAAGATGGAGTCCCTGTCTATGATGATAGACCTTGGGATACCATGAAGTTTACAGATCATAGTGGCAAAAAGGTTAGCTACCTTTGCTGCTGTGTACTTCTGGGGTAGAGGACCAAAGTGAGCTTGCTTGGATAATCTGTCAACAACTACAAGAATAGTAGTGAAGCCATGTGAAACAGGTAAGCCCACTATAAAATCCATGGATAAATCTTCCCATATTTTGCTAGGGATTGAAATTGGTTGCAACAACCCAGCAGGTGCTTGGGTTTGATATTTAACTTGCTGACATACTATGCAAGAACTAACAAATGCCTTAACAGCAGCTCTCCAATTGGGTCAACTGAAGCTAGCAGAGACCCTGGCCATTGTCTTTTGTATGCCTGTATGACCACTCATGAAGGTTGAGTGATTTTCGTGTAAAACTTGCTGAACCAGTGGAGAAGAAGGATCCAATAACAGCTTCCCTTTATAAAACAGCAAGCCTTCATGTGCCTTATAATGTGCATTGGAACTAGGATCTTTTGCATTGCGCTTATAAATCTGTTGAAAGAAGGAGGAAGAATGATTCTCTTGTCTTAAGGTGTCAAGTAACTCAACTTGGACTGTTGCAGCAGCCATGAGAGACATGAGAACAGGTACCTAGATAAGGCATCCGCGGCTTGATTGTCCTTCCTTGGCTTATACACAATGGAATATTCAAATCCCAGTAGCTTGGTTAAGTAATATTGTTGCTCAGGTGTTTGTATCACCTGATCCAAAAGACCTCTCAAACTTTTCTGGTCGGTTCTTATGGTGAATCTTCTTCCTAACAGATATTGTCTCCACTCTTTCACTGCTTCCGTAATTGCATAAAGCTCTCTAACATACGCAGAAGCCTTTTGCATCCTCAAAGCCAATTTTTTACTGAAATATGCTTTCGGGTGCTCTTGTTGAAGAAGGACTGCACCCACTGCCAAGTCAGAAGCGTCAGTTTCAACAGTGAATTCTTTCTGAAAATCGGGCAGAAGCAATACAGGTGCTGTTGTCATTGCAACTTTGAGCTTTTCAAAAGCTTGTTGAGATGCAGCACTCCAAAGAAAGGCATCCCTTTTCAACAATTCAGTAAGGGGAGTTGCAGTTTAGGTGGATATGAAGATTGTGGTTTAGGTGGTACCTCTTTTAAGGATAGCTTTGCTTCTTGGATCTTAGCTAGTGAAATTGCTCTAGTCATTGAAGATGGACGGAATGAGGCTACTTCTTGTTGAATTATAGGTTTCAACCCGGATACAAAACAACTGAGCAAAAATGATTCAGATAAACCGTTTACCTTATTTGAGAGAGATTCAAATTCCTCTTGATATTCTAGGACGGATCCTTTCTGCATGAGTTTGGAAAGCTGTCCTTGATAGTCTTCCAATTCTGATGGACCAAAACGCACCTGTAATGCTTGAATAAAGGATTCCCAAGAAGCAATATTGGTGTTCTTGCGTACCCATTGATACCAGGCCAGAGCTTTGCCATCAAAATAAATTGGAGCGATTCGAAGCTTCTGTTCCACATCAATGTTGTAAAATTCAAAGAATTGTTCAATCTTGAAGATCCAACCCTGAGGATCGCATGACCCATCAAATTTGGGTACCTTGAGACGGACATTTCGTGCTGCTTGATTATCTTTCTGGACAGAGGAATTAGGTGACATACTCGAAGTTGCAGTGAGGTCTCGATGATTATCAAAGATAGCATCAAGCTTGCATGCAATCTCCTGAAATTTCTTTGTCATTTGTTCCTTCAAAACCTCGATTTCTGCTTGTGTGTGATCCAAGCGGTCATCAAACGATCGTGATCTAGTGTCAGGGGCCACGTTCAGCTCGATGAAAGCGCCAATTGATAGGAAAAACCTATCCTAGCACAGTTGAGGAAGAAAACAGAGAAGAGAGATAGAGAATTCAAGAAGAATGAGATGAGAAAAAAAAACAGTTTATTTCAATGACAAGTTTAATACCCATTACGGTTACATGGGATCCTATTTATACATGTTCTGTTCCTGACCCAATGTGGGTCACTCTAACTACTCAATTAACAATCACTAATATGACTACTTTGCCCATACCAATTACACTTCGTCTCACATGAACCTTTTGGGTTTTCTTATCACCCTTCTTGTTCTCCCTTCGGCAATGCTGTCAGCTACTACATGATTGTCCTCCCTCTCACTTTGATGTGCTTTATTCGTATCAATATACGTATATGTTATTGTTACGATCTAATTGCAAGGTATAAGACTTGAGTCCTACATCGAAAACATAAGGGTTTGGTGTGGGGTTTATATGGATTTTGGACTCTCTTATCTCATGAGCTAGCCTTTGAGGTGAGGCTCTCCCAAGGTTCGTATCAGTTATCTTTTAATATTAAATAAAAGAACATTACCTAAAAAACAATGATACATCAATTGCTCTGCATTAGTGGGGAACTATTAAAAACATTGGAAAGCCCTTAATTTGTTATTTATGTTTTGATGAAAGAAAAAGATAGAAAAGCAATATAATACAAGAGGATCAGGAATCCTCCTAAAATAGAAACAAAAACAACGGAAAAAAAGAAAATAATAACCCCACCCATTTGTGTATGGGATGTAGAAACACAATTGGAAACCATACTAATAGGGATACTTAGTAATTGGAATCGCTTTGTATGATTGGTTCCATTCATCCCTCTTCTTGAAATAATAGGAGGATTTTGACTCTTCCTTGAAATTAGGAGTTTATATCTAAAAATCCTACTTCCAATTCCATACTCATTCTCCAAACATGACGATCTCCTCCTTGCTTATCCCCTTCGGAAATCCAGGATCTCATTTAAGGTGAAGTCTGTTGTTTGGACGGAAGTAAGTACTCAATTGGATTGATACAGATGTTTTGTTGCAGAAATCTACACCTGCCAAAGTCCTGTCTACTAGTGTTTGTGTTGTGTCTCCTGATTCTGAGACTAGCACCCGCTTATCTTTTCCTCTGTCATGCTACTAGATATTTGTGGTTATGTAGACTCTTTGATACGTTTGAAGAATGTCGGATTTGTCCAGAGCTTGGATCACTTTCTCATGTAATTTTATAGGTTTTGGTAAGGGTATAAAGGTATAGACTCTTTTGCAATGTGCTATGTATGCCACCGTTTGGTGCTTATGATGGTATAGGAATGCCTGAATCTTCAAGGACAAAGCTTTGGTGTTTTGTCTTCTATGTGATAAAGTAAATTTCTTAGCTGCATTTTGGGTTTCAGCCAATGTCTTTTTCAGTGCGTTCTATTCATTGCTTAGAGAGGCTGGCGAGCTTTACTTAGTTGATCCACTTGTATTTTTTTTCAACCTCGCTTTTTTCTGTTTCTGTTTTCTTATTTTATCCTCTCTCCTTGTTTTGTCCCACTACTTCATCCCTTACCACTACGAAGTTATTTTTGCTTTTGTAATAAAAAAATAGAAAAAAAAACAACATTGAAACCCATAAGGAAGCTATGCCTATCTCGCAAAAAATGAGAAGCTCTACATTTGTGGCTAAAATTCTTGAATTAAGCTGCAGCCAAATATGCAACATACCAGGAAAAGATTACAAGCTCAAATCACTGTACTTTCCCATCTACTGCTAAATCCTCGATACTGTAGAAGAGAGAAAGATGTGCAAGTTATGTGGGCAGATGGAATAATCTCCAGAAAGCCCAAACAACTTACTTGATGCATGCCATGCACTATGCAAATTTAAGGGGAAAGGGACTCATATCATTCATTAGTGTTAATACTGTTGAGTACCATCATTGATACAAAAGCCTTAACCTCATAGTTGGCATTAGCATTACCAAATGAGTTAGTAAAAGCTTGGCATTAGCATGAAGGGAAGAGTTAGAAATAAGAAACTGAAAAAAAAAATACTAGAATAATATCCTGATTCCTGAAGAATGTGCAGTCCAAATATGACAGCGGGAAAAATACAACAAAATTTGTACAATGTGCAGTCTTTATTTATGCTATGATTTGGTGAATTTGGTTATAGCTTAAGAATCATATTCTAAGGATGTTTCATTGGCTCAGTAGCTGATTTGGCATGAGATTAGGCAATTAGCTTCTGTTTGGTATGAGCACTTGGTCTTTCTAAGGAGGTTTCCGTAACAGTCTTGCAGAGGGATGGGGTAGCTTTGTTCCATTGATTTTTTTCACTTTTTTGTGTGTTTTATTTTATCTTTTTCTATTTTGTAGGTTCCCTTGTCCTTCAAATCCCTTGTAATTTTCTTCCATTCATCTTAATAAATTTATCCCTTTATTAAAACTTAAGAAAGGAAGAATGTCCATCAAAAAGGCCAAATAAGAAGTCTCTCGGTCATTAAGGTTCCAGAAAGAATCAAATGCGAAGAATGATGTTAACATTTGATACTACATGTAAGGTAGTAAAATGGTAAAAGATACATGGGGGTGTGGGGAACCCTAGAGTATCTTATGTCTTTTGATAAACTGATATTATCTCTTCTAATAAGTTCTTACCATTTATGAAAATTCCATTTTTCTAATTCAGTGATATGGCAACATCAAGTTTCCGTTGTTTTACATTTTGATATCAAAGATCTCGTTTAAAGCAAGGGATTTTTGCTCATTCTAAATTAATTTTGCTCTTAGTTTAGATGAAAATTCCAGTTTCCTAAATGGTATGGGAACATCAAGGTTCAGTTGTTTTACACTTTGACATGAAAGATCACATTTGGGAATGTGAGGGATTTATGCCTAATTTAAATAAAGCTATGTGAAAATGGAAATATGGAAATGTTCTGAGTTATCAGTCCCACTCTCATATTGTTATTTTATTGAAATAATGAAATACTTGTAAAGAATTATTTCAACCCAAAAGCTAAAGCAGTTAGGTGAAGGCTATATTAATGATTATACATTGTATTTTTCTAACACATCATCTCATACAAGAGTCATTGGGCTTAAAGGTTGGACAATGCACATGCCTATTTACCTGTACTAAGAAACTTCACAATATTTTATTATTTATTAATAGAATGATGCTATAAGAATCAAAGAATTTGATCATTTTCCCATTAATTTTTATTAAAATATTATGCACGGAGAAGTTTAATATGCATTTGGAACAAATTTATGATCTTCAGTTTTCTTTATTACAAGGTCGTAATGGCTAATGCTTTTATCAAAACTGCTTTCTTCAATCTTTGGTTTTTGCTTTGTTGGATTTTTCGTAGCTCTACGCCCATGGGTGAACAATCCTTTTGACGTTGTTGATGATACATTTTCTCAGTGGAAGCAACCTACTGTACAACAGGCTTTATCTCAGGTTATATTTGAAAATCTTTTATAAACCCAACTGGCTAGATGTTTTTCTTATGTTCTGTGTTTCATCTTCAAACTTTGTTCTCCTAATTGTGTGTCATATGTGCAGATTGTTGCTATGGCAACATCAACCACATATCGTTCACTTCTTCATGCCTGCGCTGGATATCTGTCTTCATACTCGCCATCTCATGTTAGTCACCTGGCTATATCTTAATTTTAAATTTTAAATCTTATTATTTTTTGTCATCTATTTGCTGTGGTCCTCTGCTTTATTTGTATGCTTTATAACCGTATCGCATCTTCAGTCAACTGTATTCTTTTATTCTAAGTCCTTCTGATGGAGTAACAGTTTATTAGAGGTTGGATTAAGTTTCTATTAATAAAAGAAGAAATTCGTTAAAGTGAATATAAGAAAATTACAGCAAAGAAAATGATAAAACAAAAACAACAAAGCAAAAGAGAAAATATAATGAAGCAATTTTGCCGAATCCCTTTATGCATTTGTTGAGGAAACATCCTTAAATAGATCATTTGCTTTACATCACATTGTCAAAGAAAGTGAAAGAAAACCCCATTACAACAGCTACTGAGCTACTGAAATAAACCCCATATATGCTAATACATTGAGGCCAATTGCCTGATCTTATCTCAAATCAGCTCCTGTTTCCATGAAATGTCTTTAAAATATGAGTATCACTCTCCAACCAAATGCACCATTAGTGGCATAGATTACACAACATCAACATCAACAACATTTTTACTCGAACTAGTTGGAGTCGGTGTAAGAGCATAGATTCCACATTGGTATAAAAATTTAACCTCTTTATACCTACTAAATTCACTAATGCTAGTCAAACAAATTTTTTTTGCGGATCTAGAGCACACCCAGCATTTACCAAACTCGTTGAGCAATATATTCCCTAAAGTGACAGCAGCAGAACAATGTAAGGACTAAGGACACACATATACCACATATTAGAGGAAAGTACCTTATATGGCCCGTGAACATGAACATTGTTGTGTTTTTTTTCTCTCTAAAATTATTATTAAAGTCATTTATGTATATATTATGGGAAGTGCCACTGTCCAAATGGTAGATTTGACCTTGGAGGAGCTTTGGTCTTCTGAGTGGGTTTATCAAGATGGAAAATAACTCTATTCATCTTATGTGTTAGAAATTTGGAAAAGGATTTGTACAAATACACTCTAGAAGGGTCAAGAGATCAATTCCCCTAATCTGAATTTGAAGACACATGAATGGAGTCAATGAGTACTGAATGATAGTATAAACAATTTAAATCTAACAATTCATATCCAGAATAATAAACATAATTGCAAATTTTTTAAATTCTAACATATCAGACATACTAAAATTACCACAAACTCTAAATCATGTGAAACGAGATAAAAAAAAATTAAAAAGCAGAGGGTTGTTGGGTTTTACTTAATTTTAAGGACTTTAGTCTGGTTTAAGGTTGGGTATGGGAGTTAGTGGGTTAAAGGCTTAAGTTTGCATGGGTTAATGGTTTAAATGAAAAACTGCACATTAAAATAGGATGCACACCAAGAGCCACTCGATGAGCATGAAAATGGAGTGAAAAGGCTGAGAGAATGGGTTAGCAGGCTTACCACTTTGCTGAGAGACCACTGAGACTGATTCCAACAGTGTAGGGTGGGGCCAACAAGTCAAGGAGAAGATAGAGAGTCATTGGGAACAGAAGCTTCGTATGCAGAAGTGCTGGAGAATAACTGTTTAGGAGGCAGTTTTGAAGGGTTTTGCACAAGAAAATGGATCCAAAGAGATAAAAGATCTGTTGATGTTGACTCTCTTGGGGATTGCAATTGATGGTTGATTTGAGATTTGAAGTTATGGAGTGTCTATGGAGATCGATAAGATCGGAATATGAGCACAGTATAGTATACCTTAATCCTCTTTTAAAAGCTTCTCATTTCTTAAATCACAAGTAGTATGTGAATGGGATTGAATCATTTAAAGATTTGTCATAATATTTCTTTGCCTTTAAGTTTCAGTTTCGTGGATGAGAAATTGAAGGTTTTATTTATGAAGTAGCTATGAGTTGTAACAATTTTCTAAGGTGTGTGTAATAAAGATTGCTAGAGTAAAATATAAACTAGATTGATATATTTCCATATGGTATAATATCAACAATTTATAAAAGTAACTTGCTTTCCGAATTTGAGGTTCTGCATGAAATAATTTACTTACTTCTGGGTTATCAGCTGACTTGACCTTAACTTTTGTATAGGCTAGGGCTGCATGTGTGCTGATTGATCTGTGCTATGGTGTGCTAGCACCATGGATGACTCAGGTGATTGCAAAGGTATGCTAGAACCTGATATCATATTTTGGAGATACTTTCAGAGGTGCCAGTTGTCTTTTTGTCCATCATTGTTATCATTATTTTTATCATCTTCATCGTCATTATAACACCATCATGTTATGTATGTCCCCGTCATGCTTAAATTTCATGCATGTTATGCGTGGTGCTTGTTCATAATCAGTTCCTTATCTGTTGTTGCATTTTTCTGCTGCTGTTTCTTCATGAAATACATTGTTGAGCCATTTTAGTGAATGCGGGGTGTGCTGTAGATCATTGGACCAACTTTTGGTGACTTGCTTTTGTTGAAATTATAGGGATTTAAATAGTGAAGAAAGAAAACAGAGAATAAAGACTAAATAATCTGAAATTGATATTGATTTGATATGATATGAAAGATGTGTTATGATGTGATATAAATCACAAAATTGTAAGTCCTATTTATAAAATTATACTAATATTCTAAATCCTAATTAAAAAATAAAATAAATCATCAAATATATGGATACATGGAAACCAATCTTGAGAAATAATCTGAGATACTCCAAATTACACTAAGATGAATCAAGGTATTACAAGATATTTTTCATATATTTTAACAGCTTTAATGGTTTTGTTAGAAGTAATAATGGAAAGTGAGAGAAAGTGATGTAAAATGAAAGAAAGAAGAGAGAAAGAGAGAACAGAGAGATCTAGTCTCTGAATATTCTGATTGATACAACTAAAAATTGTTTCAGATTTTTATAACTCAGATATTTGTAGTATCAAATGAGATGGTGGTAATGAAGGAGAAGATGGTGACTGGAGGTGCGGAGGCCAAACGAATCAAACTCTTGGGTGGTGGTGAGTCATTGGCGGCTAGGAAAGTGGAAGTAGATTAAAACAGAGGGGAAAGAGAAAAAAGGAATTCTAATACGAACCTTGGGAAAGTCTTACCCCTAAAGCTAGCTTGTAGGGTAGGAGAGTCCAAAGTCCATATAAATCCTACACCAGAACATTATGTTTCCGATGTGGGACTCCAAGTCCCATACCTTACAACTAAATCGTAACATCCCACCACGCTCCGCAGCCCTGGCACCCACACAGCCTAGCTTGGCGCTAGTTTTTTTTACTATCCTTAGGTGAACACTACAATGTCAACGTCAGCAGCCGCGCCGCTCGATTGCAACTGGAAGACATAGTGGAAGCTTTGATACCAATTGATATAAACCTTGGAAGAGCCTCACCCAAAAGTTAGCTTATAAGGTAGGAGAGCCTAAAGTCCATATAAACCCTATACCAGAACCTTAGATTTCCGTTGCAGGACTCCGAGTCCCATAACATACAACATACTTTGAGATAAAATATCTGTCACCCAGAATTGTGGCATTTGTAATCTTTGTGATGATAAGACTTAAGAGTACCCTAGAGAGGCAAACACTCTTGAGACTTAGTCCAAATTGTGGCGATTATAGGGTCATAGGAATGGATAACAAGGCAACGAAAGACTTTAAGAACTTATAGTTAGGATCATTGTTGTTAAAATGTAGTGTCAACTCGTAGAAACAGGCGAGTTTACGCTTTTTGGGGAAAAAATGTGTCGAAATGATAGTAAACTCGTAAAATGAGCTGACTCGGTTGAAACGACGAGTCAACTCGATTGACTCGGCGAGTTTACTGAGTCGACTCAATACTAAAAAAAGAGAGGAAAAGGCTCGTCTCCATCTCTGTGGGTTATTATTTACAATAGTTCACCCATGTCTGACACCCATGACAACCCCGAGCCGCCGCTAGAGTTTCTGTTCAGTCGTCCACCGCTGCTGAAACCATCGTTGGTGGCGCCGCTTTACAAGCGGCAATCGCGGTCGCCGGATCTATATCGCGATGAGGCGTAGCTCCACCGCTAAGGGAACTAGAAGAATCGTCGCAACAAGAGGGAGGACTTTGCAAATCTCTGTTTTAAAAGAATGCCCATTTTCAACCTTTCGCTCCATCTATGTACCATTCCTTTATTTTAATATTGTTTTTTTTATGCACGATGGCACCTACTGACCTAAGCTAGAAAGTTAGATATATCTCACCTAACTCTTAATTTATTATTTGTTTTGCTCCTTTGTTAAACCATCTTAGTAGGATCCAACCTTTTGTCCATCTACATACTATTTTCTTTATTTTATTATTATTTCTTGGTTAACATGATGGCACCTTTTGATTCAAATTAGATATTATATATTCCACCCACTTTATATTTTATTATTTGGTTCGCTTCTTAGTTTCGTTTCAGTATTATTATTTATATTAAGTGATTATATATACTGTGATTTATTTCTATTCAACTGTGATTTATATTTTATATTCCACCTTTTTATTATATATTTGATTATATATTCTAATCATTATTCATGGCTTCTTCATAATGTTTTTGATAACTATAAATATATATTGGATATATATGGTACGTAGTAAATCTTACGTTTCGTTTACGTTTCACGATTTTACATTTTTGCTCGCCCTTACCGTTTCTATTGGTTAGGATAGCTGGATAGGTAGTATACAGTTTGAAGTAAGGAATTGGAAAATTTAAGGCAGCTGTAGGGAGATGATTTATTTAGTACACTGCTTGGGGAAAGACAGTACCAGAATTTAAAAGCTGTGGTCCCATAAGAAAAACTTTTATGGCAATGTGCATTATGCAATCTATGCTACTATTTGGTTTTGGTAGGACTGTAGGAGTGTAATGCTCATATTGTCATAATGGTTTCTTTGGCTTAGCAGCTGATTTTGGATAAGATTAGGTATTTGGGTTAAAGTACATCGTCTATTTAAGGGTGTTTTCCTGAAAGATTGGATAACTTTTCTCCGTTGATGTTTTCACTTTTTTTTTATTTGTTTTTGTTTTCTTTTTTTGTAAACGAGGATCACGTATTCTCAATATTCCTTGTAACTTCATGCTCTTCTACCTAATGAATTAGTTTTTTACTTAAAAAAATTTAAAAGTTTAAACTTACAGCTAGTGTACTTATTCTATTTTTTGTTCTTTTCATTGCACATGTAAATATAAATTTTGCGTTAACTAGTGTTTGGATATGCAGTTACTAAAATTATTTTATATCTAAATTAATTTAGAAGGTGGATTGACATGAATGGACTTGGGTCAAGACGTGGACTGTTATTTAAATTTATTAAAAAAATTTGAAAGTAGGAAGTTACAATTAGAGGAATAGTTATTCTATTTTTTGTTCTTTCTCAAAACACAAATGTAAATATAAATTTTGCATTAACTAGTGGTTAGATATGTAGTTACTTTAAATTCTTTTATATCTAAATTAAATTAAAAAGTGGATTGACATGAATGGACTCGGATTGAGACTTTGACTGTGATTTAATATTGCTTGATTCCTCATCTATGGACCTCTTATGTATAGGTTGATCTTGCTCTGGAGCTTTTGGAGGATCTTCTAGGCATAATCCAGGTTTGTTTGCCATTCTTTATTATGTCTTGCATTTCATGGACACTGATCTTTATTTTCTGCTGAGCCTATTGAAACTCATTGCTTACTGACCATATGTAACCTATGGACATCGATCTCTGTGCATACTTATTTGCGCAAACAATACTTGCAATCATTTTCTTGTTCATTACTATTCTATTTTGCTGAGATTCATGTTATTGTTTCAATTTAAGACACTGGCATGTTTGTCAGGATGCTCACAATTCACTTGTTTGTGCTCGTGCTGCCTTGAAGTATATTGTGCTAGCTCTATCTGGTCATATGGATGACATACTGGGAAAATATAAGGTACTTCACTTACTCCACTGGTTTCCTTTTCCCTTCAATGTGATGATGGTGCATTGTGCTCGAGATAAGAAACTGAAAGTTTCAATGCCAAATTATTCCAAAACTTTAATAAGCTATTATTTAGAAGCCTTGGAATTGTTTTAAATCTCTTATACGACCCCTTGTGCAAGAGTCATTTGGGTTTGAAGTGTTGACAGTATAAATGCCTATTCTACCTTGTGTTGAAATTCGAAGTTAATTATAGAAGAGAGCAGATGCAAGGATCAAACCATACTACTTGCTGTGATGCTGTCAAAAAACAACTACCCTAAAAAGTTGAACTGTTTGGTGGAATCCTAGAAATATTTTTATATATTTAACTTAGCACAACCTCATGCATGGGTTTGAAGTGTGGTGAATGCACTTTCCCACTTTACCCCATGCTAAAATTCTATTTCATTATAAAGGATGGGGCCTACATGAATTAAACACTTGACGACTTGTTCGTAGAAGATTTGATTCCCTTTTTTTTTTGTTGAAAAAATAAAGGAGGCTTTGATATCATGTTAGTTACAGAGATTAATGCAAAAGGTTAAATTGTTAAGTTGAAGCCCAGTTATATATCTAATAGATTACTATGGGTGTAATATATGGTTCCCTTTTGGTATAAAATGTTTTGTCATCTAAATTTGAAACAAATTGCAAATGTTTTTATTTGTATCTCACAAGATGGATGGCAGGAAAGTGATTGCCTAGGAAAGGCTGGTGAACAATTGCGTTCTTTTGATGATGTTACTGATGGACAAGTGGCCTCAAACTCAAGAGAGAGAGAGAGAGAGAGAGAGGGGGGGGGTGAATTGAGTTTTAAAAATATTTTCGCAAAATGCCTCATTTTCTTTCTTGAAAACGATTTTCTTGAGTTAATATAATTTTGAAACAAGCAAAGCTTAGAGAATAGAAATTAATACAAGAAAATAGTATGCAAAGTGGAGATTTAAATAAACTCAAGTATTCTAATAATGCTTATGTAAAGAGATAAAAAGTTAGAGAGATTGCAAACAAGATATATCCTGGTTCGGTCACCACCACCGTGACCTACGTCCAGATTGAAGCCGCTCGTTCAACTTTCCACTAATGATCAAGCTTCAAGGGTGCTTGACAAACCGCTACAACCTTCAAGAATTTTGGTTCTTGAAACCCTTACACTTCCACTCACTTTCTTAGGCTATGAGCAACTTTTACACTAGGGTCTCACTACCCTCAATAGAATGAGAGTGTTTAGAAATGGATTTGTACTCTTGAAGTACAGATTATACAAGTTGAAGCTTATGGGTATTGATCAATGACACAAGAATGAAGCTCAAAGGAGTTTTATGATCAATATGAGTAAGAACAAGTAATGAATGAGTTTGATTCAATGAGAATGATCAATAATGATTGCAAAATCAATGGAACAGTAAATCTAGGCTTGCTGATTCGTAATAAATGAGTTTATATAAGTGTTGGCACGAAACTAGCCGTTTATATCCATTAGACTGCTTACTGCCCAGTAAGTATTCGAATACTTTTCGTGAAGTATTCGAATACTTCATCAGGTATTCAAATACTTTTCGTGAAGGTATTTGAATACTTTGTTCACAGCACAAGTATTCGAATACAATCAAGAAAGTATTCGAATACTTTCTTGACAGAACATGAATGGTGCATTTTTTCGAGTTGTAAACCATTTCTTCTTGCCTTTAATCACTTTTAATGTAATTCCTTGACTTGTTGAAAATGTTTTGAGGTTACGAAATATGTCAAGGGTCTTTTTCATAAATATTAAAGCTTTCAAGTGATTGATGTCATGGATAATGCATGCATAGAGTTAAATATTCTTTGAGCTCATTTATGCATCATTAATCAATTACCTTTACATTTGGATCTAATCTCTCAAGTATATATTGCAATCTTGATCTACGATCTTGATCATGTGTGTTGAATGATTTGCTCTTGTTGTCTTGTTGAATTGCTTCCTTGGACTTTTGATTGTTGCAAGTTATATTATCTTTGACGTCGTTTCTAAGCTTGTTTGTTATCATCAAAACTCTTGTATAAATGAACTCTTCATTTTAAGTGCATTGGTTTCACAGTTACTTGACTACAAAAGTATTTTTCAATAATATATATTTGTTGAAGAGAGTATCTTAATATCTTCATCTTCACATGTCTGCTACTACCCAAGCACCCTGACATGGTATTTCCTGACTTCTCAGCTTGTGTAGTTAACTAAAAGGGCAACCTGGTGCTATAAAGCTCTCGCTATGTGCAGGGTCCAGGGAAGACCCATTGTGTGAGTCTATAGTAGACCCAGCTTTTGTAGTTAACTATATCTAAAAAATTCATTTATGCCACGCATGGTGCAAAGAATTGAATTTTATGGAATATGAATAAGAATAAGAAAAGGAATTGATAAACTAGAATGGAAATCCTATCCCAATTCAAGTTTTGAAGGAAAAAATACAAAATAAAATAGCTTGTAAAATGAATGAGTGATTTGGGAGTTTGGTGTAGAAGATACAACATGGAATGTAACCCAAATTGATGTGAACGACGTGAATAATGCTAACGGTAAAAATGTAGAAAATTTACTCTTTTCTTCCATATCTTTTACACACACCTAAAGAAACAGTCATAAGTTATTTTTAACGATGTTATATCTTTCCCTGTAATTAATATGTTATAGTTGTGGTCTTATGCTTTATGGAATTGGTATATTGATTTTGTTATTGTTCAAGATATATAAAATTCCCAAATTAAATAAAAATTACTATTAAAGAATTGTATGTAATATTGTTAGAAAAACATTTGTTCTATTATAACTTGGAACAAAAATTACACTCTGAAAATAAGCTCCAAGTTCAAGTACCCGAGAGAGTGAAAAACTGAAAATTGCATTTCTACAAGCCAACAACATTTTTTAATTCGTATCAATATATATTTTGAGAAAGGGGAATAGGGAGTAGACCGGGGAATTGGATCAGAAGGAGACCGGAAATATTTTTTAAATTGAAGGAGATAGTCTGTGTTGTCTTATAAATTGGATAAGGAAATATTAAGAAAAAATAAATTGAATATGTCATGAACCAGCTATCTCAAAAGTTTAAGGTATTAGTTAAAGACACATGAATGATTTTATATTACATCTCTAGGGCCATTGGTGGTATTGCCAGTCGTGTAGCTTGCTAGAAAGCTATAGATGGCAACAGACAGCAGTAGATGGCGGAGTGGAGGTTGCCAGAAAGACAACACAACAGAGATACAACTGATCGTGGAAATAGAATTGAGATTTAGATTTTAGGGAATTTTGTATTGGAGTGGTGAAGGGACAAGTCATAAAGGATAATTTCTAGTACTATATTAAAAGGGTTTAATGTTTTTCTTGGCAGTTAGACATAAAGTTATTTCTTGCAGACAGAGGGGTGTTGGTGGGTCCCATTTATCTCTCTCTCTTCTCCTTATAGGGGCTCACCCACTCTCATGTGTTTGCACGAGATAACTTTATCTCCAAATAGAAACATTAAACACATGTTAAAATTAAAGGGATTTAGGTAGGAAAAGAAGAAAAGAGAGAATAATGACTGAATAAGCTGATTTATATTGATTTCACGTGATATAAAAGACAAAGCAATAACCATTGTTTACAATAATCATAGACTCTAATCTTAAGTAAATAAGGAAAGAAATCATGAAATATAAGGAAAACAAATCATAAGTGATCATCTAAGATATAATCTTGATATTATAAAATACTCAAATCATATTTCTCAAAAATAGGTTACAGAATCCTAACCTTTTGGAGGAATGAGATTCCGTAAGTTTGTGGAATAGAATTCATATTGGAATGTAATGCATATTTTTTTTCTTTAACAAACAAAGGAATCCTCTCATTCCAGGAGTAAATGTGCCTGTCATTCCGTTCCTTCACACCAAACTATGTTACACATTTAAACTGTTGAAGGGTAATAAGGTTGCAGGGGAATTATCTGATACTTTGATGTATATTTCATTGTACGACTAAGATATATAAGGGGAGTTATAAAACCAATTTTATTGACTCAAATCCTCTATAAGGGGATTATACATCATGTGTAATTTTTTGTAAAATAACTTGAGTTGTGTAAGGAGTATAAACATCTTATTGGTAAATAAAACTTGTCTTCTTATATTTCGTTGTCTCTATGTTGCATCCTTACAAAACCTAAAGGTGCTGGCTGACTTATATTTTCAGAATGTGGTTAAACAATTTGCAGCAGATGATTTTATTAAGCCCTTTATTTGTTAAGATGGTGATTTTAATTTTCTCAAACAAACAAAAAACAAGAGTCAAATAATGTTAATACTTTTTTATGTGCCTTTTCCAGGAAGTTAAACACAGAATTCTCTTTCTTGTTGAGATGCTGGAGCCTTTTCTTGATCCTGCCATTGCAATCTCGAAAAGCAAAATAGCTTTTGGGGATCTATCTTCTTCATTTCCAGAAAAGCAGGAACGCAACTGCATGATTGCTCTAAATATCGTTCGTACTGCAGTACGAAAGCCAGCTGTACTGCCTTCTTTAGAATCAGAATGGAGGCATGGATCTGTTGCTCCTAGGTCATTGCTCTCTTGTATCTTAGCTAACGTATTCTGTTTTCAATACCATTTTGCTGTTCATATTATATATTGTAGATCTTTCTCGTTCTAACAACTTGATAGAGAATGAATAATAATTTAGTTAAATTATTTAATGCCAAAATAAAATGCATTTAGCTCTCTATGTGGTTATTATAATTAATGTTTACTGATGACTGAAAATATGAAAAAAAAAAATTGCCAGTTACTTATCGAGTTTCTTTTGTTGTGTCGCACCTTTACTTTTTTCTGCAGTGTGCTTCTCTCAATATTGGAACCACACATGTTATTGCCACCTGATATTGACATTTGCAAGTCTGTTTTGAGACCAACTGAACCTGAAACTGCATCTGTTTCACCACTTTCCTCTGGCATTAATGGCGGGGGTGCTTTTTCCAAGTCAAATAGTCAAGATGAATCTGACGGAAAAACAGACATTTCAGAAACAGCAGGAAAATCTGATTCTGTTGAAGATCGTAATCTACTTTTTGCCCCACCGGAACTGCAGAGTATTACATTGACAAACTTTTCTATTGATTCTAATCAAAATAGCTCTGTTTCTAACGTTGGAGATATGAGCTTGGAATCCAAACATGTGGTTGAGAAACATTCCACCAATCATTTTCCTACTAATGTTGTCTTAGATGCTGGTCTTGGTTTTGAATACTTCAACCTGCAGGCAGATTATTTTCAACTTTTAAACTACCATGATTGTGAGCTTCGTGCTTCTGAGTTTAGACGCTTGGCTTTAGATTTGCATTCTCAGAATGACACTACTGTTGAAAGCCATGATGCTGCAATTGATGCTTTGCTGTTGGCAGCAGAATGTTATGTAAATCCTTATTTTATGTTGTCTATTGGAGCCTCTACAAAACTTACAGACCTTTTGAATATTAATGACTGTAAAATCGTGCAGTCTCATGATGTTGTGGAGGTAAAATTGGCTTCTGAAAGGAATAAGCCTAATTTAGAAACAATAGCACATATAGAAAGAAAGAGAGATAAACTTGTTTTTCACATACTGCTTGAGGCTGCAGAATTGGATAGGAAATATCATTCAAGAATATCTGCTGGGGAAGATAGTCCTTATTCTGTTGAAGGATTTGATGAACAGGTTATCAAGCTGTCTCCTCTTGATGTACAATACACAGATGCTCTGACCTTGGTTCGACAAAACCAAGCTCTGCTATGTAACTTTTTGATCCAACGTTTGCGGAGAGACCAAATCTCAATGCATGAAATTCTCCTGCAGAGTCTTGTGTATTTTTTGCACTCTGGCACCAAACTATATTGTCCTCCAGAACATGTGATTGATATCATTTTAAAATATGCTGAAGACTTGAACAGGATGCTGGCATCTTTTGATCATCAGCCGAAGGAAGGTAGTGTGCATTTGGCACAAGAAAGAACACATGGGGTAGAGCGACGATGGTTACTGCTACAAAGATTGGTAATTGCTTCTAGCAGTGGAGGTGAAGAAGAAAAATTTGGAACTAATATCCAAAATAATTACCTTTGTGGAAATTTAATTCCCTCTTCAGCATGGATGCACAGGATTTCTCATTTTTCTGGTTCTTTATACCCTTTGGTTCGATTTCTTGGTTGGATGGCAGTATCTCGTAATGCAAAACAATATATCAAGGACCGAGTTTTCCTTGCATCAGATCTGTCTCAGTTGACACATTTACTTTCCATTTTTGCTGATGATCTTGCTGTTGTTGATAATGTTGTCAATAAAAAGTATGAAGAGGTTAAATTTGAAGATTCACGGGTTGAATTTGGTTCTTCAGCTAAAAGAGAGCTTGAACGATGTAACCAATATCATGAGGAACGGTCTTTTTGTGCAATCTACCCTGAACTTTGGAAGTTCTTTCCTAATATGAAGAGGCAATTTGAAACTTTTGGAGAAGCCATTTTAGAGGCTGTTGGTCTGCAGCTGAGATCTGTTTCTTCTACTCTCGTGCCTGATGTTTTGTGTTGGTTTTCGGAGTTGTGTTCATGGCCATTTTCTTTTGCTTCTTCAGTTGGTAGTGATAATTTGAAAGGGTATAATGCAAAGAATGCCAGAGCAATAATCCTTTTTATACTTGAAGCTATTATAGTTGAGCACATGGAAGCTATGGTTCCTGAGACACCTAAATTGGTGCAAGTGCTTGTGTCACTCTCAAGCTCTGCATACTGTGACGTGTCATTTCTTGATTCTGCATTGCGTTTGTTGAAGCCTATCATTTCTTATTCTTTGTCCAAGACTTCTCATGATGAAAGGTTATTGGTTGGTGATTCCTGTCTTAACTTCGAGGAATTATGCTTTAATGTTCTTTTCAATAAAATTAATCAGAAGAATGAGATCGTACATAGTTCTGAAGATAAAGGATACAATGTAGCACTGGCTATTTTTATTTTGGCTTCAATTTTTCCTGACTTATCTATTCGATATAGAAGGGACTTTTTGCAGTCTTTATTGAAATTGGCAAATTTTGCTGCTTTTGAGCCAACAACAACTTTCTATGATTATCTCAGTGCATTTCAATGTGTCATGGATAATTGCAAACTGCTATTAGTGAATGCTTTAACGGCATTTGGTGTTATTCCTGTTCAGCTTCCCCCCTTTCCTCGTGTAAATGGTGGTGGGCTTTCTGATGATAACTTAAAACCATATTCATGGTTTCTTCATGATGTCTGTCACACATCATGTGAGAATGGTGTTCATGCAGTAGAAAGTAACAATTCTGCTGTTGATGTGGATCAGTGTCGTTTACCTTCTGATGATTTAGAAGGCTTTTCTAAAGACATAGAGGATCTCATTTCTGAACTTAATCGAGCTATTGAGTGCTGTTGGAATCTTCATCAGCAGATAACCAGAAAACTGACAATAGCATCAGCAGAGTGCTTTGTCTTTTCAAAATGTTTGACATCGGTTTCTCAAAAGTTTCATAAAGCTGAAGATGATGATCAAAATTCTTCGCCTGTTGAATCTTCTTACCTGTTCACACCTCATTGGAGAAATGGTCTTCAAGGCCTTTCTGAATTGGTCTTTATGCTCCAAGAAAGTAGTTGCTGGGAAGTTTCTTGTTTGATGCTTGATTGTCTACTTGGAGTACCCTATAGCTTTTGCCTGGATAATGTGATAGGCATGATATGTTCTGCAATAAAGAATGTTTCTTGCAGTGCACCTAAAATCACTTGGCGTTTGAAGAGTGATAAATGGTTGTCTTCTTTAATTGCCAGAGGCATCCATAACAGTCAAGAAAGTGAGGTTCCTCTGATAGATCTATTTTGTACATTGCTGGGCCATGCTGAACCTGAGCAACGTATTATAGCAGTTAAACATTTGGGAAAACTTCTTGGTCAGTGTTCGAATGGAGAAGGAGCAGTGATAAATTCTAAAATTTGCAGTGACTTCTTTCCAAATGAGTTAGTTTTATCTGTTCCGGATTATTTTGTATCTCGTCTGGTTTCTAGTACTTGGGATGAGGTTGTTGTGCTGGCATCATCCGATATGTCATTACAAATAAGGATACATGCAATGGCACTTCTTTCAAATTACATTCCATTTGCTGAGCGCCATCACTTACAATCTTTTCTTGTGGCAGCTGATAGCATTTGTTGTTTGCATAATGTACCACCATCGCATGATGGTCCTATCCTACAACTTTCATTAGCACTTATTGCTTATGCCTGCTTGTACTCACCAGCTGAAGATATTTCTTTGATTCCCCAAAATATATGGGAAAATATCGAAACTCTAGGGTCAACAAAACATGGTATAGATCTTTATCCTAGCCATACCTGTATCAAATGGGGATTTTATAAGTTTGGATTAAGTTATTTTTTTGTTTTCTATTGCTTTTCTAGATGGCAAGCTTGGAGACATTGAAAAGAGGACTTGTCAAGTCCTGAGTAGATTGAGAGATGAAGGAGATGAGGCCAAAGTGGTATCTTCTACTATGAGACTATTCATTCCTACCAATTTAGATAAAGCACATTACATCCTCTTCTTGTTCAGAGTATAATTTAGTAGTTAATGCTTTCTCTTGTCTCATAATGAATTCCTAAATTATACTTATATGTTAGGCCTTGAAAGAAGTACTTTCTTCAAATCCACCAAAGCAGTATGACCCGGATTTTGCTAATACGCGTGAATCTATTATCCAGGTAATATAAAGCAATCCTGTCTTCTTTTCAGTACAATCCAAATCTTGTTTGCATCAAAATCGGTCATTTTATTCATGCAACATGTGTAACCATACATGGTCCTGTTTCATGTCTGACACTAACTTCAGGTTACATATGGACATATGATAGTGTTGATTTTGTCAAGTAGAAGGGGTAGGGTTCTCTTCGACAATGTTTTTGACAAGAAGAAAGAAGTAGCTCGTCCAAAATGGATTAGGTTTTAAGTGGGCTTTTGGGAGGGTCGTCCAAAATGTGCGGGTTGTCAAAAACGAGTGGGTCATTTTCATGTGGGACTGTGCGATTCCATTGTTTTTGGGATTTACGCTGCGATTCGCAACAATCCCGTTCAATTGCGATTCTACAGGCAATTTTGTACAAGCACAAGTAGTAAGAGCAATTCCTTTTGGTCTATATTCTTTCCGCTCTTCCACTAGACTTGAAAGTTGTTTGTAAATGGTTTTTGACCAGTGTTGATTGTCCTACATTATCTTAGACATTTCAGTGCCTGTTGAACATCTCTTATATGACACCACTGGTATGTACATCTCCAACCATGCTAGTGCCATATTCCTCTTTTTTTATCTCACAAGCTATAATAATTTGATGGTGGTAGTGATTGTGGTGGAGGTGAGACCTCAATGCCCAATTTGTAATAAATTGGACATTTAGAGGAGCATTCCTGGTTGGAACGTGGCAAACCAGCATAAGCTAATTTTGCTCAAACTGAGTCACCATCATATTCCCCCAATGTGACCATCCCTAGTGCAAACTATGTGGCCTTTCTTCACATTAAGGCATTGTCATAGTACTCTGTTGTCAAAAGGGCAACGAAGTCCCAAGTATTCGAGGTAACCATCTCATCAATCGTGGCCTACCTCTCCAACCAAAGATTGAAAGGGCCTCTTGAATAGTTTTAGGAAGATGAACAAAAGACAACGAAGACACAAAAGCATAATGTGACGGGGATAAATGGTGAATATTCAAGAAATTATAAAAAGGATGAGGATTTTGAGTGGACTGAATTTCTTTTCACATGGCTATCGGAGAACCACTAACAAACTCACCAAGGGAACGTAGGTCTGTAGCAGAAGTTGTTGGAGTATGACATAATCGACGAGGACCCTCCACTACCTCCTTAGTCATAGGAATGACCTGATTCTCATTGGAGTAGGACATGATTCCAGAGAACTCACAATTTCATCCAAGTCTTAATCTCTGAATTCAAGGGTCATCAACCAATTATCCTAAAAGCTTAAGCTATTGGGGGAATGTACATGAACTCTTTTATATCTAACATGCCTTCTCATGCAAGATTTCTTTGGGCTTGAAGTATAGACAATGCAGAGTTCCACTCATCCTACATTTTGCTTAAATTTAACATTTTATTAGTAAAATGGGGGCTGACAAGAATCAAACTCTAGAATAGATGGTCATAGAGGCTCTGTTATCATGTCATGTCAGGAACCACATATATCAAAAGCTTCGGCTAGTAATGACTTGTTTTATTAAGATAAGTATCTTCCCTGTCTTAATACAATATCAAAGCTTCAAAACACTTAAATTTGAACCTTCCAGCATATGGCTACTTGGTTAGTTTGCATCATAAAATCATCTCTTGAAACATGCCAGTTTTTACTTGTCAATCATTCTGTTTGGTCATAGTAGCCAACTTTTCTATGAACTTTATTATCTTGAGTTTTAGACATAGTTGATTTGCAACAGGTTCTTGGCAACTTAACAGCAGTTCACTCATACTTTGATGTATTCTCAAAGAAAATTGACCAAGATGATATGGTACGAGTGGTCACTAACCAAACTCATTTATTATTGTAAAACTTATCTGATTATTTACATATAATTGAGTATTTTCTAGGAGCTACAGGAGGCTGAGTTGGAACTTGACATTATACAGAAGGAACATGCATTACCAGGACGAATTGAGGATTCCAAAGATTGTAATCAGATTCAAAGTCTACCCTGTAAGAACTTTCTGCTCTAGCACATAAAATTTCTTTAAACCAACACATAAGTTTTCGTATTTCTTGTTTTTGTTATCATGTAGCAACTTTTTCATTGTTTTAGGGTGCATTTGGATAAGCTTTTGAAAAAGCGCTTTTATGATATTTTCTGGTGATCTTTTTAGAAGCTGCTTTTTCTAACTTTATAAAAAGCACTAAAAATTGCTCTTTTGTAGTATTTTTTTTTTTTTTTTTTTTAAATATCTAGTTATTATAAAAATTTCAAATATATTTTTTAATTAAAAAAGCTTGTTTTTTCTTTAAAAAAGCACAAACAAACCGACCCTAATGCTAATTTCATCCACGCCTCTTCAAGTTTGTGTATTTTACAAAATTGAACTTTTCAGCCTCCAGAAAGGATGTTTCCCGGCTTCAGCAAATCAGAGAGTGCATTATTTCCCTGTAAGTGATTATAACTTTCTCTTTTAAATATTGCTAGACATCCACTAAGAAGAGAATGCTAATTGTAGAAATCCTGTAGATAAGACACAACACGATCCGCTCCTTCTGACTTTTATCTTTAAGTGTGTCCTTCATGCATTGTTTGCTTCAGAGTATTTTAAGTCTGTAAGTATAAACCTTTCCGTACACCTCCTGTGTGATTGAGGTACCTCCTTGTTAAAGTTTATGGTTTCTTAGATTGGCAGTAGCCAATATGACTAGGTAGCTCTCTTGAGCTATTTTATTTCTTTTATATCTCTTCAGTTTACGAGGCCACCTTATTTTCAGTTTGGCTGCTTTCTTCTCTTTAGTGAAAATTTTGTTATCCCCCCGCCCCCTTTCAACCAAAAGATGAAAAAAGAAAGCCATTGGGAAGTATCCCTATGAATTTCAGTTATGATTTTTTCCCCTATTCATATATTTACATAGTTGCCAGCATGGTCTGGCTTTACTGTCACTTCTTTCAATTTTTTTTTGTATTGGACTTGCAAAGCTTTCTTGTGACTTTTTTTTTCTTCTTCCATCTTCCACCTTTTTTGAAATCTTGATAATGTATGCTGCTGATGTGTGTGGCTAAGTGTTTGAAAATTTGTTCTTCTTATGTTTCTATCAGAGAGAAGTCCAAACTTAAAGAAGATATTGTAGCCCGTAGGCAAAAGAAACTGCTTATGAGACATGCCCGTCAAAAATATTTGGAAGAAGCAGCTTTACGGGAAGCAGAACTTCTGCAAGAACTTGATAGGTTTTAGCTCCATATTGAGGATTTTGCTGCTTGTGTTGTGCTGTTTTGATTGTTTTCACTGGAAGCTGAGCATTTCCCAATTATTCAATAGGGAGAGAGCAGCTGAAACGGAGAAAGAGCTGGAGAGACAGAGATCACTGGAAATAGAGCGTGCTAAAACGAGGGAATTGCGTCACAGTCTTGATATGGAGAAGGAGAGGCAAACACAGGTAATCACACTTAAAAATAGAGGAATTTTTTATTGTTTATAGTTGCTTGGTTGTTGCATATGAGCTTGATTAGTTGAAGCGTGAACAATGCACGTGCTAACCTACATTGTGTTGAAATTCAAATGGGACAACAAGGATCCAACTTTACATCACTTGGTCATAAAGGCTTTGATATTATGTTATGAATCAACTATTCCAAAACCTCAAGCTCTTAGGTGAAGACACATGAATGGTTTTATATTATATCTTTAACACCAACCATCATTCGATAACATCCATTATCTGGTATTGGCTCCCTTTGTGGTGGTGGTAGAAACATGAAATTGGGATCCAATGTGCGTTGACTGGTCTGCTTCTTGTCATGCATGTTTCCTCCAAAATATTTAAAGTGTATCTTTTCAGAGATGGAAATTCCATGAATAGACTGTACCACCACTATACCTATAAAATATTGAACCTTGACCGAGTCCTTGGTCTGAAGTTGCTTGAACAAATGCTGCTTGAATTGGTCAATGGTGACTCGATCATTATTAGTCATAACAACATCCTCCCCATAGCTACAAGTTAGATTCATTGATAGTAGATTGATGCCACTTGAAAAGAGAGGAAAGATTTCTGAATTGCTTGATGAAATCCTGAGCATGATTGTATATATAAAACATGATTTACAATCTCTAAGTTCTGGAAACTAGGAAACCAGGAAAATATAAAAATCAAATCCTAATTATTGACAACAAATATACAACCCCTAAAAAAGAGATATTTTCCCTAAACAGGAGATAGTTCCCAACAATGCCAGTAGAAAATAAAACAATCAACTTCACGAGACATGCCACGGCTTGAAAAATAGTGCTCAAGAGGAAAAACAAAGCTTACGGGGACTACTTTAAGCCATATTGACAATTACAGAGTTTGAACACAAATGCAAACGACTCCTGAGCAGTAAATCTAGGTGGTTTCTCTATATAAAATCCCTCTTGTAAATCACCAACGAAGAAGCATTTGTTGATGTCAAGCTGTTAAAGAGATCAGTGTCAGATAGCAACCGTAGCAACAAATTGTGCAAAGTTTGGTGTTGTATTGTATGATACAGTTGTTGGTGCAGTCTCCCCATTGAGTAAATATTTTCCTTATAAGGTCAGCAATCATTATGGGTCCTGTTAGTTTCTGTAGGAGGGTGTGGCATTCTTGAAGTGACTTTTTTTTTATGTCTTTGTATTCTATTATGCCTGCTATTTCTAGGAGGTTCTTTATGATATGTTTCTTTTTACTATTCCTTCTTTGATCAAAAGTGGCATTAGAAAAAAGTGCAGCATCTTTAAGTTGAGAATATAGTTGTATATTTTTTTCCTTCAAAGCTTTGAGAAACAGTTGTATGTTTTTCTGCTTCAGAGCTTTTGAGATAATAATAGCTCTTCATTTATATGCAGAGAGAACTTCAGCGTGAATTAGAGCAAGCAGAATCAGGACTTCGACCATCTCGGCGTGATTTTCCTTCCTCCACTCACAGTAGGTAAGCTGTTAAATTAGTTACCTGTATGAGTCTTCCAAGAAACAATACTCTTGCAATGAATGTTCTGTTTATGAATGAATCTGTGTTTGTGGGTTTCTCATCTTGTAGTCGATCTCGGGAGAGATTTCGTGAAAGAGAAAATGGAAGATCTGGTAATGAAGGGAGCACTAGAGCCGGTAGTGGAAGCTTACAGCCTGAAATCCCTTCTGCCAGTTCTTCAATAGCAGCCTCACCAACTATAGTTCTTTCTGGTTCCCGGACATTTTCAGGCCAGCTTCCTACTATCTTGCAGTCACGTGACCGACAGGATGATAGTGGCAGCATATATGAAGAAAATGTTGATGGAAGCAAGGATTCTGGGGATACTAGCAGCATTGGAGATCCAGAATTGGTGTCAGCATTAGATGGCCAGTCCAGTGGATTCGGGTCGCAAAGGCATGGTTCAAGGGGGAGCAAGTCAAGGCAACTTGGAGAGCGTAGAGACAGAGAAAACAGACGTGAAGGGAAGTGGGAAAGGAAACATTCTTAGCTAGTGAGCTGAGATCTTTGTGCACTAATTAGGTCATCTTCATGTGTATATAATATATATCTTCAAGAACAGTACCCGTATTGCCCCAACAAAACAAAACCTTTGGGAAGGATATTTGCATGTCCTTGAGTTTGGAAAATCCCATACAAAGTCATGGGGAGCATGTCTCTTTGGGTGTGCTACTGGTTGAACAATGTTGTAGATTCTTATGGATGGCTGAACTAGATGCTGGTTCATAGTTTGGGCAACTGTATCAGCTTCTGTACAATAGCGTGGATGGTTGTCAAGTAAATTCTTCCTATGGCTGTATAAAAGATTAAAAAGACAACCTTCAGCTATAATTGATGTAATTTCATTTTCTCTAAATCATTATATCTTTTCCTTTAACCAGTGTAATCTATTGAAAATTGATTCAGTGATTGTAAAAATGTTTGCCGTATCACCAAATTTTTATTTTCATCTATTAAAAAAATTGATTACTAGAAATGAAAAATCTTGACCATTATAATTGTTTTAATTGACATGTTTTATAAATTAGATATTGGGGTATAATTAGTTCATAAAATTACAAAAACAAAATAATAATAATAATAATAATAATAAGGGGATCTAACCAAGAAGACAAAAGGCCTAGCCAAGAAACCGAGTCTATATTTCAACCAATTAACCTCTTAGCAGTTATAAAGCTCATGCAAACAAAGTAAATCAATTTTTTTTGTTTTTTCAAACTGAATAATTAGAAACCTAACCAGTTCGATTTGAGCATTCTCGAATTTATATTGGACGTAATTTTCCTAATATGATTTTTGTTGCATTCTTATGACTCAAATTCAAATGTTTAGTTAAGGAAAATAAATTCTTTTATCAGTTAAATTAATGGTGATTGGTGTAAATTAATATATTTATTTCTTATTTGTTATGGTCGATAATATTACAGCCAATTTCGATTCCTATATTAAGAGCCTAAATAAATACTCGAGGGATAGTTAAGTCCCTCCCTTGATGCTTGGACTATATAGTGGATTGTCGCTCCTGATTGTACAAGAAATGTTTTGATACGGTTTGGCCCCATTGTTTTTCGTTTTGTTTATGGCTTGAAATGACTCGATAACCATGAAGCGTAACTCGGTTATTTTGGTAATAAAATGGAAATATATTGGACTATTGCTATATTATTGTGTTACTATTTAATGCTTTTAATGAAATACTTGTTTCAATATGTTATTGGTATTCACCTTAAGTTGATTGTAGGTGTTGTTAGCCCCTGTGAATGAGTAACATACCTAGATTGGTTATGGTTGAATTTGACTCGAGCTGTGTGTTCATTTGGTTAGGATAAGTGACGCACCCTTAAATTTTATACAGTGAAAAATTCTCTGGTTGATCAATTACTCAACTAATCTGATTTGATTATTGTTGGATTCATTATAAGAGTTGACAATCCCAAAATTATTTTCTCTCTCTTTTACACTAGGAAAATAATGGAGTGAAATTTACTAATTCATTGACACGATGAAACACGGTGAAAACAAAAATGGAAACTATTTAATTATGTTAACAACGATGGTCCATCACTAGATATAGTATTACTCTGTCTTGGAGTTCTCGCATCTTAGGGCATGTTTGGTGCATAGTATAGGATAAGGCCTGATAGTATAAGACCTGATAGTATAAGACCTGATTGTATAAGACCTGATTAAATTTTAATACTATCCAGCGTTTGGTATGATATTGTATAAGATAATATCCTCTAATATTTTATAAATTAATATATTAAAAAAATTATTTTAATATATAAATATTGAAATGATATATTAGTTCTTGGAAATTGTACTTGTAAGCAATATTAATACATCAACCCCTTATCAGGCCTAATCCATCACTCTAGGCCGGATTAAGTTATACATCATTTTGATGTATAAAGGGGTCCTGCTGTATAAGCTTATACTATACGATGGTCACACCAAACAACTGAAAATGTCATAACGTATAGTATAAGCTTATACTATCATGCCTTATACATCACACCAAACAGGCCCTTAATTGATTAATTTATGTAACTACTATAATAATTTTTTTTTAAGATTTTTCTTTTGTTATAAAAAAATGAATTTCCCTTATGAAATTTGCTCCTATTTTATTTTGTTTAATATGCTTAATTGAAAACCTTATTCAACTGCTTGTTTTTCTTCTCATCATAGTATGAGTAGCTTCAAGTTCTTTGAATAGTTTTCTTCTTTCTTCATGCTTGTTTAGATAAAAGTGTAGGTCCTATGCCTAGTTATTCATCTCCATAATAATTTACTTTTTCTTTTCTTTTTCTTTTTTTGGAGAATTTCTTTTTTACTTATTATTGTTTTTCTGAACCCAACATAAGTAGGTATACTTATTATTTACGTTAGATGTGATTGTTTGCATGTGAATATTGAAAACTCATAGCTCCTTAAATATGGAGGCAAAGTATAATGAAGTTAATTTGTGAGACTCTGCTTTTGAATTGTTGATGTTAGGCTTCAAGTTTTATTGATTTTTTGAACATATATTTTACTTAGTTTATAATTGATTACTCTTTTTTCTTTTTTCTTTTTTTGTTACACTGTAAGAGAGAAGAATGCTTGTGTTTTTATACCTCACATTAAAAGTTTATAAAATTGTTATCATTTTTTGTTATTGTGCATAATTTTTTAGGAATATAGAATATTTTGAATTTTATTTTATGTTAAGATGATTTTGTTGAATTTCAATAGCATTTGTTGATATCAACATTCCTATCAAGCATTTTTTTTTTTTTTTTTTGGCATTGTTGAGGTTTTCTAGTGGACCATACTAGTGGATTTAGTTATTTGTCCAACCAAATTAACTATTTACATGAAATGATGCAATTAACAATATATCTAACTATAATTTAACCACTATCCCATGTCACATCTCTTGGGGTGTGGGAATGCTCTATGAGAAAGCTAAAATCCCCCTTTTATAATCTAATTTTGGATTAATGGTAGAAATTTTGTGTTGGTATTTTACAAACTTAGAGACACGTGATTTAAAATAGCATGAGTAGATTACTTTTTTATTTCTTTTCTTGAAAGATTGGATTCACATAATTTTAGTATTGAAAAGATAAATGACATCAATCTAGTTTTCTAAAAACAATTGACTTCAATTTAATCCCTCAATAATTAAAGAATAACATCAATTCAACCATTTAATTATTAAAAGTTGACATCAATTTAATTTCTCAATAATAAAAAATATATCAATTTAGTATCTCACTTGTAATTTGTGCATAAAATTATGATATTAGTCTCACTTTTTATGATTGAGGGACTAAATTGATGTATCATGTTTTTTGAGAACCAGATTGATATGTGTTATGAGTCCATGGTCCCACATAGTTCTATACTTCATTTATTAATGTAAGATAAAGTAGTAACCCCAACTCTTTACACACATTAAATACACCCCATCACTTAAAATGATGATCTCGTTACCAAACATGACATTCTTAGGTATGACTCTCCTCTCATTACCGGGCTTTCCACATAAACTCTATTTTAAGCTCCACTATATAAAACACATAACACACACACGAAAAGGATTGAACCTTATCAAATACTATTGAAACAAGTAATAAGGAGCTTGTGTCCCTTAATCAGAGGTTTTGAGTTCGAGCTTTAGAAATGAAAAAAATGATCTTAGGAGAGTCGCATCTGCTTTGGGTCTGACAGTGTTCGAACCGAACTAGTCTGAAGGATGAATGGTTGAGGAAACTCAAAGGGTTAAATCTTTAATATTTGAAACACTCATTCCAAGACCCATTTCCTCTCCTCCTTCCTTATGAAACTCGTTGTCCTTATGGAAAAAATATTTGTCATTTTAGATGACACAATTTGTGTCATTTCACTATTATAAAAAGATAAGACTCACATCTTTATTTTATTTTATCCACTCTGTCTCCTTATGATCTATCTCTATCTCTCACTTAAAATGATATAACCTTACATCTTTTAAAATGACACATTTTTTCCTTCTCCTTAAACAATAAATGTTTAAATCTTATCTTCTACAAAGGTCCAAATACTCCATATCAGAATTCTTAAGCTGATAAGTAAAATAATAATCAACCTCATCACTGGTTGCACACTCGAACTCAGGCTCATAATCGGAACCTAAGAACAATATGAACCTAACTTTGCATAACCAAATAAATGTTTGCTCTTTGTACCAAAAAAAAAATAAAAATAAATGTTTACTCTTTAAAATAATAAATTATCTTGTTCAAGTGAGAGATTTATTTAACAACTTATCTTTCCTGGACTAACATATTTCTTTAGATAGACTCAAGCTCGATCTATTGTATAGCAGCAACTCTGCCTAAAATTTGCTAGTCCTGCCTTATGGTCAACAGTCTATTATTTGCAATACATTATTCTAAAAAAATTTCCTAGCCATGCATTCACTCATGCTGTGTGAAGACAGTAAAGATCTTTGTAGAAACATTTTATTTAGCTTTGATACTCACTAATTGACAAGATTATTGATGAGCTACTTCCCTAGACATACAAATGAGAAAATTAGCCTGTCATGGTTGAAGAACAATCATTTAAATTCAAGAAATCAAAAGATAACTTGACAAATTCAATTGGAAGGAAAGAAGAAATTATATGACAATAAAACTAATAAAAGTAAATAAAAATCCTCATAATTCGATTACCAAAAAAAAAAAAACCCTCATAATTCTAACATAAAATGTGTCAAATGCTTTTTTATGTGGTCAATTTTAGAAAAGTTGATTAACTTAAGAGCTTTTTTATGTGCACATTGATTGTACAAAAGCCCCATTATCATGTAGCCACCAACATCACAAGGCTAATGAGTTGAAGAATTCTGAGTACCAATGTGTGGCAACTTATGCTGTACATTTTTTTTTTCTAAAGTATTGCAGCAAAGAAAAGCAAAAGGCACATTCATGAAAGTGATTGTACATACACTTTGCTTTGTTCTTTCACATAGAATGCCTAAAACTTCTTCTGAACTTCCTCCTGAAAGGCTTACATGCCTCAATACTAAGGTCAACAGCTGCTGCAAGTGCCATGAAGATGGCGGCATCCTCCACGCATGTTACGTGTCGCATCGCCAGTTGTACTAATGGCTTGCCGCGCTTCCCTTCACCTTGAACTCTACAACTCATTACAAAACCTCCAACCATTGGACTCAGTGAACCAAAGTCTCCACTACTTTGTGGACTAGGTATGGAACTTGCTACACCAGTTGTTGTTCTCATATGTTTTTCGGTGTCTATGAAAAACTCACCACCCTTTTCTGCATTTATGTATATTTCAGACATGAGAACTTCACCTCCTTCCTGAGCCTCAGAAGGGAGGAGAAATCTGCAACAAATGGTGTCTCTAATGCCGCGCTCGCGCCATGCTTCAAGTTTTCCCCATGGCTGCCAGCTCTCGGCTCTGCAAGCATCGGGACGAACAATTAACCAAGCTCCCGGGTTGGACCTGGCAACCCAATCACAACCTGAAGATGGAACAAAGGGAGTTGTTATGAAGGCTGCAGCTACAGCTGAGCCAGATAGGTCATGTATCTTCACCTTCCACCCCTTTCTCTCTCTCCTCTCAGTTTCTAAGTCAGAAATGTCAGTAGCACCTGACCAGTATGTGCTCAATGAGTCAACCTGGGAAACCCTGTCATTCCATAACTATCAAAAGTTTTATTAGTAACAAATTTCAGACAAAGTTGCACATTTTATAGATATCATTATCATGTCAAACTGAAAAAGAAACAATGAAGAAAACAGTTTTTAAGCTTCCATTGGAGAAGGATACTCATTAACTACATCAGCCTACATTGACATTCTGGTATCCATGTTATGTGTGTTTTGTCCATGCTTCAGAATGCAAAGAAAAATATAGAACATTGTAAAATTTCATCATCACATAGTCAAGCACTGCAGCCAAGGTTTTCTTCATATCAAAACGGAGGAAAACTTGGCTTCATACTAGAAAATTGACATCTATTTTTACTTTATAATGTACTGTCATGAGGCTACTGAATGAGATATTGTTTAGTAGCAAAATAAGGGAAACAGTGGAGTGTATCAAGAAACAGCATCAAGCTATCATTTGGTTGGGAGTTTTGAGTTTGTTTTAAGTATATATTTGGAAAAAGTGTATTCATGGGGTACTTACAAATTCTACAAAAATGCTGCAAACTTTTTAGTTTATTGAAAACTCTTGAAATGTTGTCATGAAGTAACTTTCTCTGTTACAAACAATTACAGAAATGAACAACTGCTGGTATAAGTGTACATGGAAAGAAGTAATTTTATTTTTTTATGTGAGACAAAAGTAAATTATTTCTTATAAGAAAATTAATATCTAATAAATGAAGTGGCAATTTTATAGTAGAATTCTGTTAATTAATAAATGAACCAATTAGCAAAACCTTTATAATAAAGCAAACTTAGTTTCAGACAAATATACCTCAAGCAACAGGGACTTGGAGGATTAGGGTTCTCTGAAAACATGACATTGATTTTACTTTTATTACCTGAATGCAAGTTATTTGAGAACAATTAAGTCATGACTTTAAAAGAATTCTAGAAAGAGTCAACAACAAAAAAAACCACTCCACTCCCAGTTATATCCCATCTAGCGAGGGTAGGGTTGAGAGAAATCTTGTACGTAGCCTTACCCTCGCATATTTGCAAAGAGACTATTTCCCTGATTTGAACATGTGACTTTTTAGTCACAAATGAACAATTTTACCACTGCTCCAGGCTCGCCTTCTTTTTGAAATAGATTGTATCTTTCAGTCAAAAGAGTCAACATAATTGAAAATAAAATAGATTGCAAATTTCATATCACCTGTCCTTACTAAACTTGCAACTGAAGATTGGCTGCTTGATGGATCCTTGCAGCTGAACTATCTGAGGACACAATGTTGTTATATCTTCAAACTGGAATACATATCTAGGGTCAGGATCTAGTTTCACTTTTAAATGTAGCTCTGCACTTGGCTTACCATTCTCGTGTTTGTTCTTGCCAATACCTATCCAACCATTAAAAAGAATCAATGGCTTTCCTTCACCCCACTCAGGACCAACTTGCATTTTAAAAATCCCAATTTGCTGCCTTTTGATGCCAACTCCACAATGGGAGCCTTTACTCCCTGAAAATACAGAAATCTCCAAACAAGCATGAGGATTATAGAAACAACCAGGAGCTAGCAATGCTTTTAAATCAGATTCCTCAAGGTAAAAGCTTGAAGCAATGTTCTGAGTATCAGGTATGACATCTGCAGAGGTTATCAAGGGGACTGATGACGTTTGAACAGGAAAACCTCGAAGCCGTATCTCACAAACACAAGGTGAAGAGAGTCTCTGAATTCCAGATTTTCCGGTGCTCAGATCGATTCCTGTACATCTCAACCTCAGAGAGCCTATTGACAACCTAATGAAGGCTTGAGGATCCATACTTGTCACAATTGTTCCCCCATTGGATCTAAAGCAGAAAACTCAGATGCTCTGAAAAATAAGACAGAAATGATAATCAATTCAGGAATAAAGGTCAGATAAAGCATTAGTGTTTGATTAGTGTTAAAAAACAAATAACAGCTTTCTTAAGTTATAAATATTTGTCCTTATAATATAACATACCATTCCTAAGCAAACAAACATAAACACGACATTGTCAAGAAACTAAGAAACATTTATATTTGAAAATAATAAAATAAGGAAAAAGTACACACTGCCAACTAGCTTAGACTCTTGTTTAGTTCATGTAAACATTAAAATTAGAAAGCAGTTGTGACTTGAGAGTACTTTTAACACAATGAAGCATATATCATGGATATGTGAAGACAAATAAAAGGGAACTATTTTATATAACACAGATTGACCAGTGACCAGTCCACTGAAAGAGTGAACAACTTTATGCTGCAGATATTGGAAACAAACCCATCAACATCACCAACACCTTTATCCCAAACTAGTTGGAGTCGGTGACAGATGAACCCAAATAAAAAACACAACTATTGGAAACAAACCAACCAGAGGAAAAAATTATTTCGGTCAAATTAAAAAAATTATACTAGAAAATCATTATGTTTCAGAATGAATGAATATACTATGAAAAGCTTTTGTACAAGAATTATACTCAATGTTCTCCAATCTCCAGCGGATGTGACTATATGCTTATGATATTGAATAGAAAATACGTAAATGATTAATCACTTGTAACAAATAATCATCAACTTTGTTATCCTTAGTCACATGAAGGAGACACACTCTAATTAGTTCTGGAGATTCCATTTTATAATAGTTTAGGTTTGCTCATAGCACCTACATAATAATAAAATCATTTTTAAGCTCTTTAACTTCTTCACAGTTTGCATTCAAAGAAAACTCTACAAGAAAACAAGAACCTTTTTAAGTGAATTACTTCCTGAAGTCATAAAGATGGAGTTGATTATAAGAAATGCATAGAAGTTTTCAAAAGACGCATTAAACTGCGACATAGGAATCCAATAGTTAAATTGTCACAACAAATGCCTTCTCCTGTAACAATAACAGTGTAGCAACTCATAAAAGAATGGATTCAATCATAAATGCCTTACATGTTTATCAGAAGAATAGAGAACAAAACCCAAAGATAAAGATAAAAAAAAGAGTATAAATATTGGTTGATGTGAAAAATGAACTACGGTGGCAAAAGCATTAGTACTGCTCAACCATCTCTTCACTATATTACAGACAAACTATACAACAGAATTGCAAAAGCATGTTTTATCTATCTCTAAGAAAAATATTCCTGGGGATAAGCCAACAAAATCAAAAAAACATGGAAATGATAATGTAATTCTTTTCCATGCAAATGCCTACAGAAACTTTGCTTCAACTTAATCCTTTTTTCAGTTTTAGTATAAACTGTATTTGTATTTAGCATTGCTTGGTCTGAAATATTCTACAACAGATGAAGAAGATGTCCATGTTTACTTTTTAGGTTTTTCCCTTTTTTTCCACCAAAGAAGCAAAATAAACCAAATGAGTACAACTTATTTCTTTTAAGATAATAAAAACCAACTCTATTAAATGCTTAAGTTTTTAGCTAACACGTGAATGGCTTCATATCTCCAAGGCTTCAGTTTGAGGCTTGAAAAGCTCACTTTATCTTGTTTTGAAATTTAATTTGATTACAGAAAATGAAGATAACAAGAATCAAATTCTTGACCACTTGGTCATGAAGGTTGTGATTACATGTCTACAAAACAACTCTCCTAAAAGTGTTGCTTGATATTTTAGTATATGCAATACAAAGGTGAATGAAGGCTGAAGGCTGTAGGCTGTATACCATTCACAAAATATAAAAAGTGGATAAAATTAAAAGGAAAAGATAAAATTTTCACTAAAGGCTTTGAATTGGAAGATCACTGGCGGCAATTGTTTAATTTTCTGAGTAGCTCATTAAATATCAGAGAATTTTAAGAGAGAAATTTTTTCCAGAATTTGTCATTTGTAAAAGTGTGTTTTTGCTTCATGCCAAACGTGATCATGGAATATATTAATTCAAATTCTTTATTCAAATGGCAGTTGAATTGATTATATTGAAAGGACCTATTTGAACAAGCTTGGTACTCATCAACTTTGCTTTTTGATTCTTGAAAAAACCAATCACATGTTTATATGTAAATATTTTTCAGTTGAAGAACAAAATAACAAAGTCAACTAAACCATTTAGTTAGCTCATATTTGAAATAAATTTTAGAGATCTTTTACTTTAGACTAACCAAGTTCCAATCTAACTACGAATGATATTAAGATAGTCATGACATTCATCTCCCCAACATCTCTCTCTTCAGCAAAATATAACTTGCATTTTCAGGGACCAATTGCACTTTCTAATGAGGAGATTGCTTACAAGTGCACCTATATATTATGTGGAAAGCTATTAGTATAACCAACCTCAACAAACTCAAATAACATAAATCAATTTAAGCAAATCAACTAGCACAAATTCATGCACTTGATAAATTTATGGAATGAAGTTAAACTCTTGCAGAAGCAGTCAATTTTGATGATCAGAGAGGCCCAAGTGAAAATCTGTCAACAATCCCACCTAGGATTGGGGTAGCTCATAATTGCTTTAGACAAAAGCAGCTAGTAGAACACAAGAACAACCATGGTGAAACATAATAACAAAACAAAAGTCAAAGTCAAACACAGATAAAAATGTAGCAACAAAATGCAAACCAAACTAAACTAGTTGGCATATAATGCACCAAACTCCCTCAACCTTTCACACAAAGGGCTCAAAAGCTAAATATATTGCCTCAACTTCACACATAAATTAAAAAGGAAAAAAATAAAAAGGGGAAAAAATAAAAAATAAATAAAAAATAAAAGAAACCCAGAAAAGAATGGGTTTTTAAGATGACACTGACAAAACCCAACAAAAAAATCTCACCTTTTGCACTCTCCAAATTGGAAAACTTGAAATGGGTGATTGTAGAAGAAGGGGGTTTGGATTAATTGTTGAACAAAAGAAATGAAGAAAAGAGGGAACAGCAAAAAGAACCCAATATGCAAGTTGTTGATTGTGCACGGATCACGAGAACAATTACCCAAAAATCACTGAAATGTTGGCGCAATCTCTCTTCTCTCTCTTTTTCTTACTTTCTTGGGACAATGAAATTTAAAGGGTATTACTCTTGTCTTTTTCCTTGCTGTGTTTCAGAGAGAGAGAGAGAGTTTTTCTAACATAATAAAATTAATTAATTATACACTCGAAATAGACGGAGAAAATAAAGGAATCATATTTGCTTTTATATTATATCTATATTCATAAGTGATTATGATGTATGACATTTTGACAAAGAATTTAATAATGATCCAATAGTTTTATTCCTACATTTTATTTTCTGGATTAAAGGGCAAAAGTGTGATCTTTTTTAATTTGTTATAAAAAATTCATTAAGTAATTTTTGTTGTGAATATACATTTATTAAGTGATATAACAAATATACATTGAAATGAATTAAAATTAATTTTTAATAGTTGAAATTAAATTAATTTTTAAAAATATTAGTATTGTAAATAAATTATCAAATATTTACTATCGTTAATTTTCCCACAAATGTTCTACTACTATTTTTTAAAAACATGTTTTACTATTATTATATAGGATTTGATGTTTGTCATTTTAAATGACATAAGTTATGTCATTTTAGGAGAGAGATAGACACAGACAAAATAGAAATCATGGGAAAGAGAAAGTAAGTGATTTTTTAATTTAAAATTTAAATTAAAATTTTTTTATGTCTGTCTCTCTATTAAAATGATATAACTTTATGTCATTTAGAATGACAAACACTTTTTCCTATTATATATGACTAATAACTGATAAATATTTTATAACTTTTCAAACTATCATATTTTTTTATATATTTAGTAATTCATCAATTACCGACTAATGGTTTGAGCACTTTAAATTTAGGGTTTTATTAGTCTCATTTAATATAAGATAGTTATCTTATGTTGTAAAGAGAAAATAGATGAGTCCCACCATTATAAGAAAAAAAAAATGTGAGATGCGAAAATCGAAGTGAGAGAAAATACCTTATGTGAAATGAGAGTAATATTTTCTTTAAACTTATTACTGGAGACAATTCTCTTAATATAATTTTCTTTATTCCCAATAATCGAACGGGATCTTTGATTATGGTGATCAATCGAACCCAAGTTGAGTTTATAATTAATTTAAAGTGGGATTAATTTTTTTTAACAAAGGGATTGCTCATTTAAAATGAAATCTCTTATACCTAAACTTTTATTAGTCGGTAAATATTTATTGAATTTTAGTCCGTCTTAATCAATTTTAGATATTTATTTAATAACTCAAAATAAAAAAAAAATAAAAAATAAACATAACAGCTCACATAAAAAAATTATAAAAAGAAAGAAAAACAATGAATACCAGCATGAAGTATGAACACAGAACTAGAAACATGGAATTTGGGCGAGTCTGACTTTATGGTACATGTAATCATAAGTATAAAACATTATCTTAATTCAAACATAGGTAATTGAAAATAATTAGTTGGAATTAAAAAAGAAAAGAAGAGAGAGATTGAGAATTGGAAGTCAAAAATGAAATAAAATAAAATAAAATAAACAAAGCAGAGAGTGAGTACGGTCGTGAATACAGCTGTAACCAAAAGAGAGTGTAAGAAATGAAGTTAGGAATCGCTATCAGATATACATGTGCCTGACTTCATCCTATGGTCATCCTTTTCTTTTTATTTGATTTATTTTTTTCAGTCCACACACGCAAAGTTTTTTAATTAAAATATAAACCTTTGAAATGTTATTAACTAGTATTTAAATATATATTTAAAATAGTATCACTAAGATACTAAGATGCATCTTTTGATTATAACATACATTAATGAAAATGAGGTATATTTTGTCTGTATGAGTAGAAAATAATATTTGTTTTGCAGTATATAGATCTTAACACGATGAAAGTAAATTTTTAAAATTGAAATGCAATATCTCTTTTTGAGTTTGATTGTATTACAGTAGTTCATATAAATGTACCTGGACAGAATATGAGATTTCCATGATATACACCTATTGATGGTGCAATAAGTGGCTCCTCTTGTTCAGCGGAACAAAGGAGAGAGTGTACCTACAAGTTAATAAGAGTGGTAAGTGTAATATTTCAATGTAAGAGAGATCCATTTATTACTTTATGAATGAGGGTGAAGAAGACCATTTATATATGGCATCTGTCCGAGAGTCACCAAGGGGTGTGTAGAGTTTCTGTGTTAAGTGAATAGGCCCAATGCATAATGGTACTAAGTTATATAGTATATTTAGAAAAGAAGTCCCTCGGCTCGATGCGTCACTTGTTGGTATGTTGAGTTTATAAGATACGTTGATCAGGTCAAAGAGATCCTCCATGATGAACTCAGGATACTTTGCTAGGTTATAGGTGTAGTTTGCATCTTGAATGAGGAAGTCTAATGTTCAAAGTCTTTCTTCAAGGTTTAAAGGTGGAGGTGTTAATACCTCGAGATGTCAACTTTAAACTCTACCAATTAGCATTAATAATGTGCCTAACTAAGTTAGGACTTTCGCAATGAGCATTCAAATATAACAAATGTATCGTGTGGCTGGTGAGGTAATCATGCAAACAATCATTAGGAGAGTAAGTGGAGAGTGTTTAGTCGAGCTAGGTCTTTTACATTGGCTATAGTTGGGGTTGCAATAAACACCATGAAAAATATGTCGTTTGCAAACTTGTAAGAAGATGAAATCCGTTAATTGTTAATGTTTTTATAAAACAACCATAATAAAAAAGAAAAGATAAATGGGTAATTTAAGAATGAACCATAAATGTGCTATTAAGTAACTACCCTTGTTAGTTGTGAGATACTTGTACACCCGATGTATTAACATCACAATATGGTCTTAAATGCAACATAATTAATAATTTAAACTGAAGTCACATATATATAAATGACCCAATTACACTCCAGTAAAATGGAAACTAACTATTTCCTTTTCTTGTGAATTGTCATACACTTTATTCGTCTCTTGTTTACTCAACATATATCATATCTTCCTATGCCTCATATCTTGAAGACTTAAGACTTTACTAATACCATAGTAATGGTAACCAATTGTTTGAGTGTTATAATCATATACTACATCAGTTAAAATAAAACGAACAGTATCTGGCTGCATCCCATCACACAACTCGGCTCAGCTATGCTTTGTTGAACCACGATTCTATAATTACTCGGGTTCTTTGTACTTGCCAACCTAGATAAAATATCAGCTTTACTATACTCTCCTCGAGGAATATGAGTAATTATGACTTCATCAAATTCGTATATAATTTTCTTCACTCTACTCAAATATTTCATCACAGAGGCCCCTTAGCTTGATATTTCCCATCAATTTGTGAAGTGACAAGTTGGGAACCATTGAAGACTTTAATTCTCTTGGCTCCATGCTCCTTTGCTTGCATCAATCCGGCTATCAAGGCTTCATATTCTGCTTGATTATTTGAAGTTGGAAAATTCAAGTGTAAGGAATGTTCTATTGAAACTCCTTCTAGACTTTCTACTGTGATTCCAACTCCGCTCCCTTTATTATTTGATGAACCATCGACATAAACTTTCCATATGTCATCATCATCATTACTTCCTCCATTAGATGGAGCGAACTCCATTATGAAGTCGGCTAGCGCTTGACATTTGATGGCATACCGAGCTTCATAAGTGATATCATATTCAGAGAGCTCAATTGCTCAGTTAGTCATCCTTCCAGCCAAATTCGGCTTGTGCAACACTTGTTGTATTGGTTGATTAGTTCTGACGACAACTTGATTCCCTTGAAAGTATGGCTAAAGTCTTCTTGCTGTGGTGAGTAAGGCAAATGCCACTTTCTCTAATTTTTTGTATCTCAATTCAGGACCTTGGAGAGCCCTGTTAACAAAATATATTGGGTCTTGCCCTTTATTTCTTTCTCTCATTAGCACAACACTTATTGTTTCTTCTCCAACGACCAAATATAAAATCAAGATTTCTCATGGTTCTGGTTTTGATAGAACTGGTGGCGCTGCCAAACACCTTTTAATTTTTTCAAATGCGATGTGTTTTCAGCCGACTTTGGTAAGAATATAGTTAAGGCATCCAATCTTCCTGTTAATTGCTGAACTTCTTTCTTATTTCTAGGGGGTTTCATGTCCAGTACAATTTTTCCCTTTTCTGGATTTGCTTTAATCCCCATGTGAGTTAACATAAAACTCAAGAACTTTACAGTCGGGGCTCCAAATGCACATTTAACTGGGTTTAATCGAATGTGATGAGCTCTCAATTTCTCAAAAGTTTGGTTCAAATCTTAAACATGACTTGCAATATTTGCTAATTTGACGATCATGTCATCTATATAAACTTCTACATTCTTGCCGAGTTGATATTCAAATACTCGATTCATCATCCTCTGATATGTGGCACCCGAATTTTTCAATCCAAAAGGCATTACATTATAATAGTAATTGGCCTTTTTCAGCAATGAAAGTCGTCTTCTCTTGATCTTCTGGATACATTGGTATTTGGTTATAGTCGGAATACGCATCCATGAAGGATAGCAACTGGAACCCGGATGAGTTATCCACAAGCTGATCTATAATGGGCATCATATATGAATCTTTAGGACACACTTTATTGAGATCAGTGTAATCCGTACAGACCCTTCATTTCCCATTAGACTTCTTTACTATAACCACATTGGCTAACCATGTAGTGTATTCAATCTCCCTTATGAAACCATCATCCAGAAGCTCCTTTACATGCTCATCTAAAACTTATTTTCTTTCAGGTCCCAGCTTCCTTTTCTTCTGTGCAATTGGGGTTGATCCGAGATATATTGCCAGCTTATGACAACAAAATTTGGGATCAATCCTAGGAATCTCGGATGACTTCCATGCAAAAATATCTTTGTTCTCCTTTAAAAATTCTATTAACCCAGGTTTTACATCCGAGTTGATGGTTTTATCAATTTTGGTAAATTGCCCAGGCTCATTGCCTAAGATAGGAATGATAGCTTCTTCTCTCATATTCAATTCAACCATGTTGACTGGCTTACTTGGATGGTGAGAGATTTTATGCTTTCTAA